ACGGAATTTTCTCGCAATATATTTAAATACTGGGAGATGCGGAATTAAATTCTGCATTTGACAAAATTATTTCAATCTAATTTTGACACCGCGTTCGCGTGTTATAGCATTAAAACTACAATTCCTAGCGCAACGAGTACAAGTGCGATTGCACGCAACTTTCGATATAACTCGCGTCACGGAATTTTCTCGCAATATATTTAAATACTGGGAGATGCGGAATTAAATTCTGCATTTGGGAAAATTATTTCAATCTAATTTTGACAGCGCGTTCGCGTGTTATAGCATTAAAACTACAATTCCTAGCGCAACGAGTACAAGTGCGCATGCATACAACTTTCGATATAACTCGCGTCACGGAATTTTCTCGCAATATATTTAAATACTGGGAGATGCGGAATTAAATTCTGCATTTGACAAAATTATTTCAATCTAATTTTGACACCGCGTTCGCGTGTTATAGCATTAAAACTACAATTCCTAGCGCAACGAGTACAAGTGCGCATGCATACAACTTTCGATATAACTCGCGTTACGGAATTTTCTCGCAATATATTTAAATACTGGGAGATGCGGAATTAAATTCTGCATTTGACAAAATTATTTCAATCTAATTTTGACACCGCGTTCGCGTGTTATAGCATTAAAACTACAATTCCTAGCGCAACGAGTACAACTGCGATTGCACACAACTTTCGATATAACTCGCGTCACGGAATTTTCTCGCAACATATTTAAATACTGGGAGATGCGGAATTAAATTCTGCATTTGACAAAATCATTTCAATCTAATTTTGACACCGCGTTCGCGTGTTATAGCATTAAAACTACAATTCCTAGCGCAACGAGTACAAGTGCGATTGCACACAACTTTCGATATAACTCGCGTCACGGAATTTTCTCGCAACATATTTAAATACTGGGAGATGCGGAATTAAATTCTGCATTTGACAAAATTATTTCAATCTAATTTTGACACCGCGTTCGCGTGTTATAGCATTAAAACTACAATTCCTAGCGCAACGAGTACAAGTGCGATTGCACACAACTTTCGATATAACTCGCGTCACGGAATTTTCTCGCAATATATTTAAATACTGGGAGATGCGGAATTAAATTCTGCATTTGACAAAATTATTTCAATCTAATTTTGACACCGCGTTCGCGTGTTATAGCATTAAAACTACAATTCCTAGCGCAACGAGTACAAGTGCGATTGCACACAACTTTCGATATAACTCGCGTCACGGAATTTTCTCGCAATATATTTAAATACTGGGAGATGCGGAATTAAATTCTTCATTTGGGAAAATTATTTCAATCTAATTTTGACACCGCGTTCGCGTGTTATAGCATTAAAACTACAATTCCTAGCGCAACGAGTACAAGTGCGCATGCATACAACTTTCGATATAACTCGCGTCACGGAATTTTCTCGCAACATATTTAAATACTGGGAGATGCGGAATTAAATTCTGCATTTGACAAAATTATTTCAATCTAATTTTGACACCGCGTTCGCGTGTTATAGCATTAAAACTACAATTCCTAGCGCAACGAGTACAAGTGCGATTGCACACAACTTTCGATATAACTCGCGTCACGGAATTTTCTCGCAACATATTTAAATACTGGGAGATGCGGAATTAAATTCTGCATTTGACAAAATTATTTCAATCTAATTTTGACACCGCGTTCGCGTGTTATAGCATTAAAACTACAATTCCTAGCGCAACGAGTACAAGTGCGATTGCACACAACTTTCGATATAACTCGCGTCACGGAATTTTCTCGCAACATATTTAAATACTGGGAGATGCGGAATTAAATTCTGCATTTGACAAAATTATTTCAATCTAATTTTGACACCGCGTTCGCGTGTTATAGCATTAAAACTACAATTCCTAGCGCCACGAGTACAAGTGCGCATGCATACAACTTTCGATATAACTCGCGTTACGGAATTTTCTCGCAATATATTTAAATACTGGGAGATGCGGAATTAAATTCTGCATTTGACAAAATTATTTCAATCTAATTTTGACACCGCGTTCGCGTGTTATAGCATTAAAACTACAATTCCTAGCGCAACGAGTACAAGTGCTCATGCATACAACTTTCGATATAACTCGCGTTACGGAATTTTCTCGCAATATATTTAAATACTGGGAGATGCGGAATTAAATTCTGCATTTGACAAAATTATTTCAATCTAATTTTGACACCGCGTTCGCGTGTTATAGCATTAAAACTACAATTCCTAGCGCAACGAGTACAAGTGCGTATGCATACAACTTTCGATATAACTCGCGTTACGGAATTTTCTCGCAATATATTTAAATACTGGGAGATGCGGAATTAAATTCTGCATTTGACAAAATTATTTCAATCTAATTTTGACACCGCGTTCGCGTGTTATAGCATTAAAACTACAATTCCTAGCGCAACGAGTACAAGTGCGTATGCACACAACTTTCGATATAACTCGCGTTACGGAATTTTCTCGCAATATATTTAAATACTGGGAGATGCGGAATTAAATTCTGCGTTTGGGAAAATTATTTCAATCTAATTTTGACACCGCGTTCGCGTGTTATAGCATTAAAACTACAATTCCTAGCGCAACGAGTACAAGTGCTCATGCATACAACTTTCGATATAACTCGCGTTACGGAATTTTCTCGCAATATATTTAAATACTGGGAGATGCGGAATTAAATTCTGCATTTGACAAAATTATTTCAATCTAATTTTGACACCGCGTTCGCGTGTTATAGCATTAAAACTACAATTCCTAGCGCAACGAGTACAAATGCGCATGCATACAACTTTCGATATAACTCGCGTTACGGAATTTTCTCGCAATATATTTAAATACTGGGAGATGCGGAATTAAATTCTGCATTTGACAAAATTATTTCAATCTAATTTTGACACCGCGTTCGCGTGTTATAGCATTAAAACTACAATTCCTAGCGCAACGAGTACAAGTGCGCATGCATACAACTTTCGATATAACTCGCGTTACGGAATTTTCTCGCAATATATTTAAATACTGGGAGATGCGGAATTAAATTCTGCATTTGACAAAATTATTTCAATCTAATTTTGACACCTCGTTCGCGTGTTATAGCATTAAAACTACAATTCCTAGCGCAACGAGTACAAGTGCGTATGCACACAACTTTCGATATAACTCGCGTTACAGAATTTTCTCGCAACATATTTAAATACTGGGAGATGCGGAATTAAGTTCTGCGTTTGGGAAAATTATTTCAATCTAATTTTGACACCGCGTTCGCGTGTTATAGCATTAAAACTACAATTCCTAGCGCCACGAGTACAAGTGCGCATGCATACAACTTTCGATATAACTCGCGTTACGGAATTTTCTCGCAATATATTTAAATACTGGGAGATGCGGAATTAAATTCTGCATTTGACAAAATTATTTCAATCTAATTTTGACACCGCGTTCGCGTGTTATAGCATTAAAACTACAATTCCTAGCGCAACGAGTACAAGTGCTCATGCATACAACTTTCGATATAACTCGCGTTACGGAATTTTCTCGCAATATATTTAAATACTGGGAGATGCGGAATTAAATTCTGCATTTGACAAAATTATTTCAATCTAATTTTGACACCGCGTTCGCGTGTTATAGCATTAAAACTACAATTCCTAGCGCAACGAGTACAAGTGCGTATGCATACAACTTTCGATATAACTCGCGTTACGGAATTTTCTCGCAATATATTTAAATACTGGGAGATGCGGAATTAAATTCTGCATTTGACAAAATTATTTCAATCTAATTTTGACACCGCGTTCGCGTGTTATAGCATTAAAACTACAATTCCTAGCGCAACGAGTACAAGTGCGTATGCACACAACTTTCGATATAACTCGCGTTACGGAATTTTCTCGCAATATATTTAAATACTGGGAGATGCGGAATTAAATTCTGCGTTTGGGAAAATTATTTCAATCTAATTTTGACACCGCGTTCGCGTGTTATAGCATTAAAACTACAATTCCTAGCGCAACGAGTACAAGTGCTCATGCATACAACTTTCGATATAACTCGCGTTACGGAATTTTCTCGCAATATATTTAAATACTGGGAGATGCGGAATTAAATTCTGCATTTGACAAAATTATTTCAATCTAATTTTGACACCGCGTTCGCGTGTTATAGCATTAAAACTACAATTCCTAGCGCAACGAGTACAAATGCGCATGCATACAACTTTCGATATAACTCGCGTTACGGAATTTTCTCGCAATATATTTAAATACTGGGAGATGCGGAATTAAATTCTGCATTTGACAAAATTATTTCAATCTAATTTTGACACCGCGTTCGCGTGTTATAGCATTAAAACTACAATTCCTAGCGCAACGAGTACAAGTGCGCATGCATACAACTTTCGATATAACTCGCGTTACGGAATTTTCTCGCAATATATTTAAATACTGGGAGATGCGGAATTAAATTCTGCATTTGACAAAATTATTTCAATCTAATTTTGACACCTCGTTCGCGTGTTATAGCATTAAAACTACAATTCCTAGCGCAACGAGTACAAGTGCGTATGCACACAACTTTCGATATAACTCGCGTTACAGAATTTTCTCGCAACATATTTAAATACTGGGAGATGCGGAATTAAGTTCTGCGTTTGGGAAAATTATTTCAATCTAATTTTGACACCGCGTTCGCGTGTTATAGCATTAAAACTACAATTCCTAGTGCAACGAGTACAAGTGCGCATGCATACAACTTTCGATATAACTCGCGTTACGGAATTTTCTCGCAATATATTTAAATACTGGGAGATGCGGAATTAAATTCTGCATTTGACAAAATTATTTCAATCTAATTTTGACACCGCGTTCGCGTGTTATAGCATTAAAACTACAATTCCTAGCGCCACGAGTACAAGTGCGCATGCATACAACTTTCGATATAACTCGCGTTACGGAATTTTCTCGCAATATATTTAAATACTGGGAGATGCGGAATTAAATTCTGCATTTGACAAAATTATTTCAATCTAATTTTGACACCGCGTTCGCGTGTTATAACAATAAAACTACAATTCCTAGCGCAACGGGTACTAGCGCACCGAGTACAAGTGCGTATGCACACAACTTTCATTATAACTCGCGTTACATTAAACATCGGTAAAAAGAAGCATTTACTAGGCGGGCAATGTATTAAATTAATATTAATTCAAATAGGAATGACAAATACTCGTACAATGACGCGAAACTGAACTATGCCCATGAAATGAAGAATTTAATTATAATCTCACCCATGTACTCTCTCCTCGTGTATGGTAACTCATGGAACGTCACTGGCCCTCACTGGGATTTCTTCAATTACTATAATAAAATAATAAAAGTTAAAACATGTTATGTTGATTCGTGCATCAAAACACGATGTTGGTTGTCGAAATGTGTGTGCACGGTGCATTCCACACGGCGAACGAGATAAGAACACACTAGTGGTAAACAAACACGGATAAGCGTCAATAGTCAGAAGATTGAACACAATGCTAGCTGGCAATATCGGCACAAGTTAGAAAGGCTTAGATTATAATTTGAATATAATAAAAGATGCAAACGTTCATATGAATTTACTGTATTAATTAGGTTTTAAGACCTTATTGTTTGCAACAGAGCTGCAATACAGGCACGGCGAACGCGACGTTATATCCGATACTGACAGACGCTTAGAATGAAAAACTAAATCAATTACATTTATCATTCTAACTTTAAATGAAGTCCAATGTTATTTACGCAAGTGCAGAATAAAATAAATAGCAATTCCTACCAATTGGAAGATGGCCGACGGCACTTCACAACAGGTAAACAACATAGCCGCGATACACTTACGCGCAAATAATAAATAACAATACTAAAGTTGTACTAAAGTCAAGTTAAAATTAAATAGTCAATTGATGATCGAATATAATTCGAATTGGAAAGTAGAAGTCCGGATAAACAATAGGAGTCGCGCAAAATACGTCGGGATCAACCAGCCACCGGCACAAAACTGGCCGCAAGCTGCATAAGCAACGACGAGGCAGTTTATGATAAGAAAACAAGAGGTGCGCAAAGCCGGCGCGTCGATCATACGCGACCTTCTGTGTGAATTGCAATAGATGCGCAAACTCGGCGGCGCGTCGTTGGCACGCGACCTTATGCGCGAATTGCATTTGGTAGTTTACCTGGGATCAAAACTAAAGTAAGATGCAACAACATGCGGCGTGAGGGGCTGACAACGACGAAACATGTGTTTCAACAAACACAATGCTTTATTTTTTAGTCCATGCTATTGCGATCTATAAATGATACAGTAGTTTCGAAATTTAGATTAGTAAAGATAATAAAAAATGCTTGATACTTTTTTTCGACGATTTTCAAAAATTCATATCTCTTAAATTAAAAGAGATAGCTACCAACGAATTGTTGATTATGAAAGATTGGAAGATTCTCTAGCAGATAAAAATATAAAATAATTATATTTCTCACAGTAAAAGGTCGGAAAACGCGACTAAAAGTGCTAAAATGTGACATTTTGCAATTTTTGCCCATTTTATTCAATCGCGAATATCTCGTAAACTAAAAGAGATAAATAAGATCTGATCGCAGCGTCTTAATCTACGGACCAATCTCTATCAGATAGGATAGTTAAAAGGGAAATCTGAGAGATGAAATTTTCATTCTTAAGAAAAAATTGCCAAGGGGGGGTGCTTGATACTTTTTTTCGACGATTTTCAAAAATTCATATCTCTTAAACTAAAAGAGATAGCTACCAACGAATTGTTGATTATTAAAGATTGGAAGATTCTCTATCAGATAAAAATATAAAATAATTATATTTCCTAGAGGAAAAGGTCGAAAAACGCGACTAAAAGTGCTAAAAAGTGACATTTTGCAATTTTTGCCCATTTTATTCAATCGCGAATATCTCGTAAACTAAAAGAGATAAATAAGATCTGATCGCAGCGTCTTAATCTACGGACCAATCTCTATCAGATAGGATAGTTAAAAGGGAAATCTGAAAGATGAAATTTTCATTCTTAAGAAAAAATTGCCAAGGGGGGGTGCTTGATACTTTTTTTCGACGATTTTCAAAAATTCATATCTCTTAAACTAAAAGAGATAGCTACCAACGAATTGTTGATTATGAAAGATTGGAAGATTCTCTATCAGATAAAAATATAAAATAATTATATTTCCTAGAGGAAAAGGTCGAAAAACGCGACTAAAAGTGCTAAAAAGTGACATTTTGCAATTTTTGCCCATTTTATTCAATCGCGAATATCTCGTAAACTAAAAGAGATAAATAAGATCTGATCGCAGCGTCTTATTCTACGGACCAATCTCTATCAGATAGGATAGTTAAAAGGGAAATCTGAGAGATAAAATTTTAAGTCTTAAGAAAAAATTGCCAAGGGGGGGTGCTTGATACTTTTTTTCGACGATTTTCAAAAATTCATATCTCTTAAACTAAAAGAGATAGCTACCAACGAATTGTTGATTATGAAAGATTGGAAGATTCTCTATCAGATAAAAATATAAAATAATTATATTTCCTACAGTAAAAGGTCGAAAAACGCGACTAAAAGTGCTAAAAAGTGACATTTTGCAATTTTTGCCCATTTTATTCAATCGCGAATATCTCGTAAACTAAAAGAGATAAATAAGATCTGATCGCAGCGTCTTAATCTACGGACCAATCTCTATCAGATAGGATAGTTAAAAGGGAAATCTGAGAGATGAAATTTTAAGTCTTAAGAAAAATTGCCAAGGGGGTGCTTGATACTTTTTTTCGACGATTTTCAAAAATTCATATCTCTTAAACTAAAAGAGATAGCTACCAACGAATTGTTGATTATGAAAGATTGGAAGATTCTCTATCAGATAAAAATATAAAATAATTATATTTCCTACAGTAAAAGGTCGAAAAACGCGACTAAAAGTGCTAAAAAGTGACATTTTGCAATTTTTGCCCATTTTATTCAATCGCGAATATCTCGTAAACTAAAAGAGATAAATAAGATCTGATCGCAGCGTCTTAATCTACGGACCAATCTCTATCAGATAGGATAGTTAAAAGGGAAATCTGAGAGATGAAATTTTAAGTCTTAAGAAAAAATTGCCAAGGGGGGGTGCTTGATACTTTTTTTCGACGATTTTCAAAAATTCATATCTCTTAAACTAAAAGAGATAGCTACCAACGAATTGTTGATTATGAAAGATTGGAAGATTCTCTATCAGATAAAAATATAAAATAATTATATTTCCTACAGTAAAAGGTCGAAAACGCGACTAAAAGTGCTAAAAAGTGACATTTTGCAATTTTTGCCCATTTTATTCAATCGCGAATATCTCGTAAACTAAAAGAGATAAATAAGATCTGATCGCAGCGTCTTAATCTACGGACCAATCTCTATCAGATAGGATAGTTAAAAGGGAAATCTGAGAGATGAAATTTTCATTCTTAAGAAAAAATTGCCAAGGGGGGGTGCTTGATACTTTTTTTCGACGATTTTCAAAAATTCATATCTCTTAAACTAAAAGAGATAGCTACCAACGAATTGTTGATTATGAAAGATTGGAAGATTCTCTATCAGATAAAAATATAAAATAATTATATTTCCTACAGTAAAAGGTCGAAAAACGCGACTAAAAGTGCTAAAAAGTGACATTTTGCAATTTTTGCCCATTTTATTCAATCGCGAATATCTCGTAAACTAAAAGAGATAAATAAGATCTGATCGCAGCGTCTTAATCTACGGACCAATCTCTATCAGATAGGATAGTTAAAAGGGAAATCTGAGAGATGAAATTTTCATTCTTAAGAAAAAATTGCCAAGGGGGGGTGCTTGATACTTTTTTTCGACGATTTTCAAAAATTCATATCTCTTAAACTAAAAGAGATAGCTACCAACGAATTGTTGATTATGAAAGATTGGAAGATTCTCTATCAGATAAAAATATAAAATAATTATATTTCCTACAGTAAAAGGTCGAAAAACGCGACTAAAAGTGCTAAAAAGTGACATTTTGCAATTTTTGCCCATTTTATTCAATCGCGAATATCTCGTAAACTAAAAGAGATAAATAAGATCTGATCGCAGCGTCTTAATCTACGGACCAATCTCTATCAGATAGGATAGATAAAAGGAAATCTGAGAGATGAAATTTTCATTCTTAAGAAAAAATTGCCAAGGGGGGGTGCTTGATACTTTTTTTCGACGATTTTCAAAAATTCATATCTCTTAAACTAAAAGAGATAGCTACCAACGAATTGTTGATTATGAAAGATTGGAAGATTCTCTATCAGATAAAAATATAAAATAATTATATTTCCTACAGTAAAAGGTCGAAAAACGCGACTAAAAGTGCTAAAAAGTGACATTTTGCAATTTTTGCCCATTTTATTCAATCGCGAATATCTCGTAAACTAAAAGAGATAAATAAGATCTGATCGCAGCGTCTTAATCTACGGACCAATCTCTATCAGATAGGATAGTTAAAAGGGAAATCTGAGAGATGAAATTTTCATTCTTAAGAAAAAATTGCCAAGGGGGGGTGCTTGATACTTTTTTTCGACGATTTTCAAAAATTCATATCTCTTAAACTAAAAGAGATAGCTACCAACGAATTGTTGATTATGAAAGATTGGAAGATTCTCTATCAGATAAAAATATAAAATAATTATATTTCCTACAGTAAAAGGTCGAAAAACGCGACTAAAAGTGCTAAAAAGTGACATTTTGCAATTTTTGCCCATTTTATTCAATCGCGAATATCTCGTAAACTAAAAGAGATAAATAAGATCTGATCGCAGCGTCTTAATCTACGGACCAATCTCTATCAGATAGGATAGTTAAAAGTGAAATCTGAGAGATAAAATTTTAAGTCTTAAGAAAAAATTGCCAAGGGGGGGTGCTTGATACTTTTTTTCGACGATTTTCAAAAATTCATATCTCTTAAACTAAAAGAGATAGCTACCAACGAATTGTTGATTATGAAAGATTGGAAGATTCTCTATCAGATAAAAATATAAAATAATTATATTTCCTACAGTAAAAGGTCGAAAAACGCGACTAAAAGTGCTAAAAAGTGACATTTTGCAATTTTTGCCCATTTTATTCAATCGCGAATATCTCGTAAACTAAAAGAGATAAATAAGATCTGATCGCAGCGTCTTAATCTACGGACCAATCTCTATCAGATAGGATAGTTAAAAGGGAAATCTGAGAGATGAAATTTTCATTCTTAAGAAAAAATTGCCTAGGGGGGGTGCTTGATACTTTTTTTCGACGATTTTCAAAAATTCATATCTCTTAAACTAAAAGAGATAGCTACCAACGAATTGTTGATTATGAAAGATTGGAAGATTCTCTATCTGATAAAAATATAAAATAATTATATTTCCTAGAGGAAAAGGTCGAAAAACGCGACTAAAAGTGCTAAAAAGTGACATTTTGCAATTTTTGCCCATTTTATTCAATCGCGAATATCTCGTAAACTAAAAGAGATAATTAAGATCTGATCGCAGCGTCTTAATCTACGGACCAATCTCTATCAGATAGGATAGTTAAAAGGGAAATCTGAGAGATAAAATTTTAAGTCTTAAGAAAAAATTGCCAAGGGGGGGTGCTTGATACTTTTTTTCGACGATTTTCAAAAATTCATATCTCTTAAACTAAAAGAGATAGCTACCAACGAATTGTTGATTATGAAAGATTGGAAGATTCTCTATCTGATAAAAATATAAAATAATTATATTTCCTAGAGGAAAAGGTCGAAAAACGCGACTAAAAGTGCTAAAAAGTGACATTTTGCAATTTTTGCCCATTTTATTCAATAATAATAAGTACAAATCGCAGAAACTATTCTGTGGACAAATTCCTATAAGATAAGCTAGCTAAATTGTTAATTTAGAATAATAATTAGTAAGGAAAAATGGGTAAAGGGGAAGGGGATACTGCATCATGTTTCTATCACGTAAAAGTTAAATAAATATTACAGTTTCTAACCTATCTGAGGCGTGATGTTCAAATTTAAAGCTGCGTTTTACAAGTTTTTTCCCAATATTAAATCATAAATCGTATCGTATAAGCGCTTTTTTGCAATAATTAAATACAACTGGATAGAGAATTTAATTCTGCAAATTTGGACCCCGCGCCCAAGTTTGTAACACGTTACTCCCAATAATAAAAAATAATTAAATTATTTAATGCTAACGCTTTAGTAGAAGACGGTGGACCGCGGCGAAACAAATACATAAATGCAAAGTAATGATAGATGCAAAAAATAAAACGAAATATGTAATTGAATTATAAACTTACCAATGCAGAATTCATCAGACTCCAAAGCAGGTGCAAATACTGTAAACAAAAAAAAGGAAACATAAGTAATACTATATTCACACAGCGGAGAAAAACAAACTGTGCTATTTAGTTAAAAAAAACACTTACAGCAGCACGATGGGTCATCCAAATGATGAATAAATCAACACGGTCGCGATACACTTACGCGCAAATAATAAATAACTGTACTAAAATTACTAAAGTCAAGTTAAAATTAAATAGTCAATTGATGATCGAATATAATATGAATTGGAAAGTAGAAGTCCGGATAAGAAGTTTGGATCAACTAGAGACCGGCACAAAACTGGCCGCAAGCTGCATAAGCAACGACGAGGCAGTTTGTGATAAGAAAGCAAGAGGTGCGCAAGGCTGGCGCGTCGATCGCACGCGACCTTGTGCGTGAATTGCAATAGATGCGCAAACTCGGCGGCGCTTCGATGAAACGCGACCTTATGCGCGAATTGCATTTGGTAGTTTATCTGGGATCAAAACTAAACTAAGATGCAGCAACATGCGGCGTGAGGTGCTGGCAACGACGACGCACGGCAATGCGATAAGAGAGTGTATATTGTGTTCCAACAAACACAATGCTTTATTTTACAATTTATAGTCTATACTATTGCCATCTATAAATGATACAGTAGTTTCGAAATTTAGATTAGTAAAGGAAACAAGAAAAATTATAATTCGATTTGCGTAATTCTGATTTCTTATACTGACAGATTGCCAGATTTTAAATCAAATATTTAAGTGATATTTAATTTGAACATGCATCGTTTTTCGTTTACCAGGTAACACATTAGTCCGTAATCATCTGCTGATAATAAAAATATATTAGAATTAATATAAAATTGTTAGTTATATTCATGAAAGAATTGAGGAATATTTGTTTAAATTTACGATGCTAATATAATCAACAGCAACGTTGTGTTTTGATTCCACGAAATAAAGATTCGATACCTGCAGGTAAACAAACTTATCTCTTGCGCGAAATCGCGTGATCCACACGGACACGGTGTGCACTCACTACCACCAACAAACAATATTTAATGCAAAACCGTACATCGTAGCGGCATCTAACCATTGACAATATTAATCAACTTAAAAATATTCAAAAGACATTTATCAAATATGCAACAAGGTTGATATTGCAATGAAATTAATGGCAATAAATCTAAGCTATACTCGTACAATCGGAGACTACGTCTCTACAAAAATAAGAAAGAGAAATTAAAATACAAATTACAATCCGATCCACCCTCTTGACGATATCAATGGCCGCCTAGATCGCATGTAAACCCGGAAAATTCAAACATTACACGGAAAAACAATGAGAAATCACAGTTTTATACCAATTTTCGGTTGCAGGTCGAATTCCAGCAACAAACAAATACCACCCGACGAAGAATTTAATTCCGCATCTCTATACGCCGCGCTGAAGTTAGTAAGCCGCCTAGATCTCGCGCAAACATGAAAAAATACAAACATTTCACGAAAAAGGGTAAAAAATCACCCTTTAATTCAAATATTCGCGGGTTCCTACGGTGCCCTGAACACGAGTCACTCACCGGTAACCTCGTACGGTGCCCTGAATCAAAAAATGGGCAAAGGGGGATACTGCATCATGTTTCTAGCACGTAACATTTAAATAAATATTACAGTTATGTACACAAATGCAATAAATCTAACTTATATGAGGCGTGATGTTCAAATTTAAATTGTAACTTATAAGCGCTTTTCTTGCAACAATTAAATACAACCGGATAGAGAATTTAATTCTGCATATTTGGACCCCACGCCCAAGTTTATAAAACGTTACACCCAATAACAAAAAAAATTAATTATTTAATGCTAACGCTTTAGTAGAAGGCTTGGCATAACGCGATGGACCGTGACAAAAAAAACACATTAATGCAAAGTAATAATCGACGCTGAAAATAAAACGAAATATATAATTGAAACATAAACTTACCAATTCAGAACTCATCAGACTCCAAGGCACGGCAAATACTGTAAATAAAAAAAGAACAACATATGTAATATTATATTCACACAGCGGAGAAAAACAAACAACTTTAGTTAAAAAATACTTACATTAGCACGATGGGTCCTCCAAATGATGAATAAATCAACATGGCCGCGATACACTTACGCGCAAATAAATAACTGTATGAAAGTTACTAAAGTCAAGTTAAAATTAAATAGTCAATTGATGATCGAATATAATACAAATTGAAAAGTAGAAGTCCGGATAAACGATACGAGTCGCGCAAAATACGTCCCGATCAACCAGCGACCGGCACAAAACTGGCCGCAAACTGCATAAGCAACGACTGCCTTATGATAAGAAAGCAAGAGGTGCGCAAGGCTGGCGCGTAGATCGCACGCGACCTTGCGCGTCAGTTGCAATAGATGCGTAAACTCGGCGGCGCGTCGATGGAATGCGACCTTATGCGCGAATTGCATTTGGCAGTTTACCTGGGATCAAAACTAAACTAAGATGCAGCAACATGCGGCGTGAGGTGCTGGCAACGACGTCACACGCCAATGCGATAAGAAAGTGTATATTGTGTTCCAACAAACACAATGCAAACACACACACAAACACAATGCAATTTTACAATTTTTAGTCCATGCTATTGCCATTTATAAATGATACAATAGTTTCGAAATTTAGATTAGAAAAGGAAACAAGAAAAATTATAATTCGATTTGCGTAATTCTGATTTCTTATGCTGACAGATTGTCAGATTTTAAATCAAATATTTAAGTGATATTTAATTTGAACATGCATCGTTTTTCGTTTACCAGATAACACATTAGTTCGTAATCATCTGCTGATAATAAAATTATATTAGAATTTATAAAATTGTTAGTTGTATTCACGAAAGAATTGAAGAATATTTACTTAAATTTACGATGCTAATATAATAAACAGCAACGGTGTGTTTTGATTCCACGAAATAAAGATTCGATACCTGCAGGTAAAGAAACTTATCTCTTGCGCGAAATAGCGTGATCCACACGGACACGGTGTGCACTCACTACCACCAACAAGCAATATTTAATGCAAAACCGTACATCGTAGCGCCATCTAACCTTTGAAAATATTTATCAACTTATAAATATTCAAAACACATTTATCAAATATGCAACAAGGTTGATATTGCAATGAAATTGAAAACAACGAAAGTCATACACGAAACAAACCAGTATTTAATAAATGATTCATTTAATTTTTTTGTACAATAAACAATAAACATATCAGGTAGTGCTAAGTTGTTTCGTTTACATACATACATTTTTCTGCCGCAAGAAAAACCAAATACATGATTGAGTGATTGTCACATTCCTATCGAAATCAAGTAGTGTGTGGTTGTAAAAAATGTTTTCATCCGCTCTTTTCATCTGCGTGTTTAACTAGTGTTCGATCCCGACGCCATTCGCAATGAGCGCAATTGACTAACGTGCATGATATCAATTGCGTTCGCAGCCACAGCGTGGAAACTTTTACATATATTACAAACGAAACCAAACGACCCATCTTATTATTGTCTAATAATATCACTAACGGGCCGCTCTTCATTACGTGCATGCGTGTGTGTATGTGTGAGTGTGAAAAACAGTTAATCGCTCAATCGTCATTTATCAATAATTAGAATTAATGGCACTAAACCTAAGCTATACAAGAGTCGGATAGAAACATATAGAACGTATACCATAAAATGTAATAACAATCGGAGACTACGTCTCCACAATAAAAAAGAAAGAGAAATAAAAATACAAATTACAATCCGATCCACCCTCTCGACAAGACATCAATGGGCTGCAATCGGTTTTAATACTAATGTACAAAAAAGTCGCCTTACACTCCAGCTACATCTCAATTAATTAATCCTTTCGTGCGTCCACGCTGTCCTAACTAATATTGCACAGCTCGCTCTCATTCTCTCTCGGTTGTTTCATTTTTTTTTACAAATATAAACTCATCTTAGTCGTGCTTGATAATAAGGCTAGTTATGAAAAGGCTATGTTAGTTGAACAACGCTAACATTGGATCCAGTGATAAAATAGCACATTCTTAATTCAGTATGTTTGTGGGTGTGTGTATGTGTGTGTTTATATATGATATATATACTATACAATCGCAAAAAAAACATAAAACATCAGCGCGTCGCCACGCCTCGTTGTAATCGTAGAAGAATAATTTAACTTTGAGCCTAATTATGTACAACAAACGAAATCTCTTAAATTCACTTTTGAATTCCAGTTATAATTTCCGCTTTACGTGATTTGTGTTTAGTTCCTTCATCATTCTATATATATAATATATTTATGTATAAGTTCCTACTTACTCCTAGCTAGTTTTGTATTTTTGGTCCCTACCCTAAGCCACAGTAAAACATTTATGCAATATAGACTCTGTTCTGTGCCGGTTCGATTTTCACGTTTGCTTGCATCATAAATCTCATCAATATGTTTACAAATATTACGGCCAGTCGAGAGTCAATTCATTTCGTTATTCATTTGGAATGTTTCGAATATTTAGTTCATCCATTTCTTACAGTTGGGCGCACCACACATGCAAGAAATCTTGTGTTGGTCATCTTCTATGTCGAATTTGTAGTCGTAAGCAAGCTGAAAATATAAATAAATGATTAGTTTTTAGCAATTTTCGGAAAAGAGCTACGTAACAGATGTGCACCCCCACCACTTTTTGCGGGTTAATACTTTGTTAACACTATGTATTAAATATAAATGTTACTGACCTCTTCGCCGCGTTGAATCCTTCGTTTAGCAAAGATGATAATCCTCAAATCTCTGTCCACTTCAACAATTTCAGCGACGCAATTAGGATTACAGGAGTGATTTATATACCGCGCTAACCCCCCGCAGAGTGTGGCATCCACTACCCGCTCCTCATCCAGCCTGAACATGTATATTCCTCGATTCTACAAGCACAAACAAAAATAATAATTACTTCATGTGTAAAAATGGTAAAAATTTTAATAACAAACCTTGGCGTCGTAAAATTTCTCCCTCGTCTCGGACAACTCGGACCTTATAATCTCCCCGATGTATTCAATCACCATGGTATGTTTCTCTAGATCCCTCGCCGCATACAGGCCCAGTCCTTGAATTTTACTCCTTGCCAAAAACACATTATTTCGCCACTCCTGCTTCATTTTCTTGTATTGAGAGCTCTTCGAGTGCACAAACTGCTTGCTATATGGACACGCCGCTTCTCCGGCAGGTTGTGCCGCTGCTGTTGAAGCAAACACAGGTCTTGCCGAATTTCCTGTCCGCTGTGTATGCGGTCGTTTCCAATGCAGTTGATTCCTCGCCTTAGGTTCCGTCCTTGCCGCGCCACTGGGATTAATCGCCAGCGGTAGCTCCAGCAGTGGATTGCGTCCATATTTAAATTTATAATCCGTTAAGGTCTCAATGCCGGGCAGTGACTCCAACACTCTCACCACGGCAGGCTCACTCAAACCAAAGAGATCTTCTCCGCTTACGAATTGTGTAAACAACTGCACGCATTGATTATCTCTCCTGAGTTGAGCCAACGGTTCCAGAACTTTCAACCATACAGCTTTGCAGGACGAATCTCGAAATTCTTGATCTTCTTCGGATGGCTCCTGGACCAGAATACGAAACTCGGGACGTCCGGATAATTCTTGAATAGAACAGATATATCGACATCGTTTGTTCAATCGACGCATGCTCCAATAAAACCGTATAATTTTGTACCCGATCGGATAGATATAATTCGCCGTGTGGAAATTGGCCAATTGATGCGGTAGTAATTGACCCACGCTTAAGAAGATCAACGATCCCACCCGCAATAGATTATTCTGGTCAGAGTGATGCATAACAGCGGCAACTTGCCTATTCTCGTCCCTATCAACATACACCCTTCTACCAACCGATAACGTAGTCAATTCATTGTCTTTTTCGTTCTTGGGGACATGTGCACTGCAAAAGGTTGACTTGTTCTTGTAGAAAACGCAGTTGTCCTTCACCGCACACGGTAGATGGTAAATATTCGAACAGCGTGGTTTGAAACATCGAATTGTCGCCCCAATTTGATTACATTGCACACAAGTAGCCACCAAACTAGCCTGTAACGCTGCTGGTAAATTCATCAATGCGCCATTGACAGTTTCATAAACCCCATCTGACCAGAGACCGCAATTGAGATGTACCCACTTATCTACGTCAAAGTTAAGCAATCTAGCTGGTCCATCCGCCACAGCATCCGATGTCCCATTACAAAACATGCATTTCCTAGTGTCATCCGGAACTTTTGTCGGCATAACAGTCACTCGTAATCTGTACATCAACTCCATTAATTCTTTATCTGTGGGTTTCTTGTATTTATTAGCAGGGTGGATGCAGTTTGGTGTAAAGACTTTGTACTTGATGTTCTTCCATTTTTGTATCTCCTCGACATCATCAACTTGCATTGTTTCGTCTTCTTCAGATTTAATAGTAATGGGTCTTTCTGATTTTACAGGTGATATTATGTTATCCACCTCCATGCGTTCAATATCTGTAATTTCGAGTTTCTTCTTGTCTTCTTTCTGGCATAGATGTTTGATTAACGCCGCAGCTCTATCTTCACTGATCGATGGACTTCGATGCATCAAAGCAAGTTGCATGTAACAACTGGAACTGCAAAAGTAGATCTCATCCCCATCTGATAACAATTCAGAGTCTTTACTGAGGAATGGTAGCTCGGAGACTTTCTTCCTGATCATGTTATTTAGGATAACAACATCGCAATGCCGGCAGAATTTCGCATCTCCATTGAGAATACTTTGAATGTCAATAGGTGCGCCTTCCTTGCCATCTTTACCCTTTGTGCGATACAGACCTAACTTTTGACTTGGTGGTGTGCCTGTCCTCTCAACAATCTGATAACTTGTAGGCGCAGGAATATGTAAAATATTCGCCAGATCTCTCAAAACGCCCATAATGTCCTCCGCAGCCGATGAAGTCAATGTTAATGTAACGGTGACGTTACCAGAGTCTTTAAGTGGTGTACCAGGACCTGGTGTACCAAATTTACTCTTCGCGCTGCCTGGCAAACTGCATATGTTTTCTTTGTCCAGGTTTGGATAGTCTTTGAGATTGAGACTTGTTGGTTTAAGTCTAATCGGCACAGGCGCAATAATTGGTATAATCGGGGATAGTCTCCCTTTATCTGGTTGATCCGACCCATCTAAACTTTCCTCCTGTTCAATGAGTCGTAATCCCATGAAACGCTTAGGTTCATCAAAACTTTCGGGAGATGATGAATACACCAATGAATCAGGAGTGTCTTCCCGCGCAAACAGTTCCCATTTCCTCTCATCATCACTGTCAAATCTAATAAGAGGAAACTCTTGATCGTAGAAACCACGCTGTGTTGACGTTGGTGGTTTTTCAGGAAGTTGTTCTTGCTCCCCATAGGGTTTGGAGTTGTAGAAATCAGCAAACCCAGGAACTATTGCATTACCATAAGTTCCAAGGAGATCTCCCACACGCGGATCAAACTCCTTCGAACCCAACTTGGACTGATCTCCGGAGCCGTACACAGGTACTACTGCAAAGTTCTTACTCAGCACAGGTTCGGAAACAACCATAGGTGGTAAAGTCCTAAGTTGTGCAAGGACACTCTCTATATATGAATCGTAATCCTCGTCAACCTTTGAACTCTTACGGGTGCGCTTCTTGGGTTGTCCACTTGGTTGACCACCGCCTTCTTTGTTCAGGATCTGATTCTGTCTACGTTTTTGTTGGTAAACCCGCCGCTTTTGTTTCTTGAGTTCTTCTTTATCGAGTATCTGCTTCTCCACACTCGTATCATCGATTTCCTCCTTCATTGTAACATCAGACTTACTATGATCGGAGACCTCAGAGTGTTGTGAGCAGTCATCCAGCAGTTCCTTCTTGACTTCGTGCGTGACTAGTACGGGACTTTGTGATGTCAATTCTTTCTTTACAATCAACGGTGGTGTCTGTAGGCTGGAATCTTGACTACATGTAGATCGAGGTGTAGCTGGTGATAGTAAATCATCTCTACTCGGAGTCCTACTTGGTGGTAACCCTTTCTTGATATCAATGTGTAATTGTTGTTGGGGTTGCGCTTGCATAACATGTTGCTGCTGTTGTGTTTGTGGCATTTGATACACCTGCTGCATTTGTTGTTGTTGTTGAGGTGGTGTTTGTTGCTGTTGTACATTTTGTTGCTGACTTTGAATTTGTAGAGGAGGCGGCGGAGTCTGCGCAACCGGTTTAGAAACAAAAGAAGTCTCACGAATTATCGGGGTTTTGGTCTTTACTGATTGTGTGGGAAGTACATTGGGGGTTGTAGAACTGATCGCCGTCAATGTACTCGGAGTGGTTGTAATACTAGGTGTGTCGTTTTGTAAAATGGGCGGGAGTAAGCTCGTCGGCGTTGGGGAACAGGCCGCGCTAACTGCGCCGCTAAATTCGGCACCAAAGGTAGACTGGGTCCCGAATTGGAAGACACCGACACCGTACTGACTGGTGTTGTTGATTGCGAAGAGGCGCAGGCAGTGTTCTGCAGCAGTTGTTTCAAAAGCACATTTTGTGAGTCCTCCATCCTATTCGGAGCAGAAACCGCCACCAGACTGCTCAAAGTAGACATAGGGATATTATTTGACGATGATGTTACACTCTGCACAGGTGTATTCTTCGCGGTTTCATTTTTAATAAACTCGCCGCAGTAATAGACTGTGTTTGGTCATCAACAGGTTTCTCATCTTCTGATTTCGTCCTGGTAACAGTTGTTTTCGTCAACTGAGTATGCAGTAAATTGGTTGGTGTACGAGCAAACGCAGAAGTCGCTGGATTCGACGCTAACAACATCGGCGTTGTTGTAGATGGTGCATTCAATTGAGTTGTAACATTCGTAGAAACAGCAACAGTGGATATCGGTGATACCACATTGGGTTTAGCTTGCGCTAGGGAAGCCAATGAAGGTCTCGTCAAGGGTATAGAAGACCCTAAAATCGACGCTGTTGTTATAGTCCCCGGAGATGTTTGGGGCATAGTCGCAGCCGGATGTGATTGCAACATCGCATTCAAACTTAACGAAGGTTTCTTTTGAATTTGAAGCTGTTGTTGTTGCTGTTGGAGTATCAAAGGTGGTGTTAGCACGCTTTGTACTTTAGGACTTTGAATTTGACTAGTGGAAGAAACCACAGCAGTAACAGCGGTTTCCATTACAACCTGCAGTTGTTGTTGCGGTTGAGGTTGTTGTTCTGACTGAGTAGTTGTAGCTACAACAGCCAGAGTTGTCACTGGAACTGCCACCTGCATTGGTCCCTGTGTTGTTGTTACAGCCGGGGAAGACACCCGCTTTGGTGAAGACACAGTCTTCACAATTATAGCATTCGCAAGCATACTAGAAGTAATAGGAGCAGTTGTAATAGTCTCTGATTTGATAGAAGATACCACAACGGACATCTTATCCCCACTGGTCTTCGTCGTGTCGACATTTAAAGTCTTCGTAACTGTTGACGTATGCATTGCATTAGTCAACAAAGTTCGCAATTGTTCAGAAACATTCGCAATGTTATTGGTCACTTCAGTTGGTTGTGATAATGGAGACAACTGCATCGTACTACTAGGTCTAGTTGTTACCGTTGTAGATGTTGCAACAGTCACAGAACTAACCAAAGATGTTGTACTTGAAGTAGTTGTAGGTGTTGAAGTAGATACTTCTTGTTTAACTGTAACAACAGGTGTAGATGTGCATGATGTAACAATGTCAACCTCAACCTTCTTTTCAATTTCCTTGGGACCAGCTTCTTCTTCATCTACTGATTTACCAATGTTCTCGATCATATTTAACACATCATCCAGGGAATCAAATTCGCCAGGCATACCATTTCCATCCCTCCTCCTACTTTCAAACGCCTGCATAGCTATATTATCCAACATTTGTTCCTGTGATGGTGTTGGGAAGGAATAGAAATCACCACGGATTTATGATCGTGGTCATCCGCGTGATTATCACTGGCGTCCTGCATCATAAACTGAATCTCTTGCTTCACAGGAGTGTTTACAGTAACATCTGCTGGTGGGACTTCAATTTGTGTGGTTGTTGTAGTCGTAGTCATTTTCATCTCGTTGGTTTCAGCTGGTTCTTCAACGGGTTCCTTTTTGATTGTAACCTTTTTAAGCGCAATACTTTCCTCGGGAGAATCCTCTTTCTTCTCATCCTCGGTATTACTACTTTCAGGCGATACTGAATCATCTTCAAATATTTTCTTTGGCAGTGAGGTATCCTGCGGTGTTGCAAGCGACAAACAACTCGATGACGACTTATCAATGACCTTTACATTTGGCAGTTTTGAAATGGCGCTCGCGCTAATCACCGGCACGGTAAACCGTGATGGTAAGATGGATGCGATTTGTGATGTACTAGCGCTGACGATTGTAATGGCCGGCGAGGCTGAAGAACCCAACTTTGGTACATTTATGATGTTATTCCTTACTGTTCCACCTTTTAATAAAACCGCCGCCATTGACGCTGGTGTTTTATATGCCTGTGTTGTTATAATAATGTCTTTTTTAGCTGAATTCGCCAGAGGTGTAATCAAAGTCATTTTGGGTGGTGTACCTTTGATGCTAACCAAGTTAGGTCGTACATTTGTCACGGTTTTGATAATATTACCAACTGGCGTGGTGGGATAGACCATATTCGCAGCATATTTATGTATCTCATTTATATGTTGCGTGTCAAGTTTAAGCACTTCATTGGCCTTATTGTCTATTTCACGCTCATCAATCAACTCCTCAAAGTCCTCTTTAGTAGAAATATGATCCTTGTGTTCATTATCTTCGAAAGATTCTTCTTCAGGTGATTCATCTGCCATTGTTATCTCTTCACTCTCCACTTCAGCCCCAGATTCACTTTCTAACTCGGCCTCATTCTCAGCTTCGTTCAAATCTTCATGAACCAACATATTCAAATCATCAGTTTGCCCTTGAAGAATCAATTCTTCTTCGTCGCTGGTTGTTGGACTTTGCAGGACATATTGCATGGTCTCCGTATCATCTTCTTTGTCAGAATATTGTGCATTACCAGCAATATCAAACAACATGTACTCATCTGGGATCTGATCGGCTTCCAAAGGACTCGACAATCCTTCACTAATGTCCTGAGACATGAATGATTGTATGACTGCCATATCATCGCCATCATTCTGTTGCGCTGCAGAATTTAGAGACACCTCAGTGGATACAACAGAAGAATCCACATCGATATCAATATCGTATTCCATGATGTCATTGGGTAGAGCTTTCTCAGGAGGAACCATCATTAAGATATCATCTTCTTCAGGACCAGCAGACGCACCAGGAAGTTTTTTACCGGTTGTTCTGATGATTCTACTAGTTGATGCAATTGAGGGAGGTGGCGAAGAACTATCTTCGAATTCATTATATTCTTGGCTTACCAAAGAACTTGCTGAGACTTTAGATAAAGTTAACTTAGCAGGTGATTTTTTCTTCAAAATAGAAACTTTACTCAGATGTGATTCTTTCTTAAACTTTGGTGTAGCTGGGTTGGTTTTAGCATCTCCTGAAGATGTTGGATCTTCTACAGGTTCTTGCAAAGGCGGTGGTGCGGCTGCTCCAGGGCCTTTTTCGCACCACGAGCATATCCCGATCCCCACATAGGTGACCCTCCTCTCAAACCAAGTTTAATATAACCAAACCTCCCAAAACTAGGCGGACATGGTATAGGCGCATTGTGTGGATTACCCCCACCACCAAGATCATTATCCGGTACATTTGGGTCAGTTAGAGCGTTATATGGTGTGCGTGGATTGTCTGTCGCAGGACTATTACTACTACTAGCCGGCCGACGTTGTGGAACCATCGGACTACGCGGCATTGGTGATGGTGGTTGATGAATCATAGGACTACTCGGTGGTTGATGGTGTATGGCCGGACTCTTCGGCATTGGAGAATTCGGCGGATGGTTAAACGACACCATAGGTGATGGTGGCTGGCTAGTCATCGAATGCGGCGACATAATTTGTTGATTTAACGAAGGACTTTGTGGTGGCATTGGTGAATTCGGTGGTTGTTGTTGATTCAATTGAATCTGTTGCATTTGCTGCTGCATCTGCTGTTGTTGCATTTGCATCTGTTGTTGTTGTTGTTGCAACCGTTGTTGAATCTGCACCTGCTGCTGTTGTTTAAGTGCTTGTTGCTGTTGTAGCATCAACTGATGTTGTTGTTGGCTCATTGGTTGTCCCTGGGGTGGCATTTGTCCCCTAACCATTTGTCTTTGATGGATGAGTTGTACAATCTTCGGGGAATTCACGCCGTCTTGATTAACATCCTGTACTTGTTGTTGCTGCTGCTGCTGCTGTTGTTGTTGGTGGTGGTGTTGGAAAAACGCCTGTTGTTGCAAATGTCGCTGCAGCAGTTGTTGATTCATTTGCTGTGGAGGTGGACTATTCAGTGGACTAGGAGTACCAGGTTTCGACTGATATCCACTCGGAGAGCTTTGTCCGGAAGGCAATCGAACTCTATCGAGTTGAGGTCGTACAAACCGTTGAGGACCACCAGGTCTCAAATCAGGATACCCTATTGGACTGGTAACCACCCTACGGTGTTGAGGAGAAGTCATTCTCATCTGAGGAGGTGGTAGATGCATTAAAGGAGATTGCACCGGACCAGGACTACCCTCATTCTGAGAATGAGGTGTACCAATACGTGATGGTTGCATTGGTGACATAACTTGATTCATATTCGGACTTTGCAATACACTGGGCCCAGGTGAGTGAGACACCGAAGGCGCTGGACTATGCATCGGTGAATTATGCTGCATCATTGGCGATTGTGATGCTGATGGTGACATCATAGGTGATTGCGGTGGATGTATCGGGGAGCTTGAAGGTGGCGTAGGTTGCCCACCTTGTTTACTCTGCTTCTTGCCAGCGTAATCCTAGATATAAATGTAAATAAAACCGCTGATTCCAAAAATGAATTATTATTAAATTACCTGCATGAGAAGTGTATGTTGTTTGGTCTGTTTGCGAGCATTCTCCAGTTGTTTCTGCAACCCGGTGATCTGCGCCGAGGTGCGTTGCAATTCAAGCGCGTCGGCATCGCTCAGTTGCGTGCCGGTCTTCTTGCACTGCCGCTGCTTGCTGTTCAACGACTACAACAGAACATTAAAACAAACTCTCAATTATCCCTAACTCAATATGCACTACCTTTCTAACTTTTCTCAATGCATGGACCTCAGACTCGTAGAACTTCAACTGCGCCGTCAGGTGATTATTCTGCATCTGCAGCCATCGCTCATACGCCAACAACGCCTGTTTATCCGCCTCCGATAAAATATTCTCTGGTGGTACAGGAGGAGCCGGAAGTGAAACACCTTGAAACTGTGGTACCCTTGGTATTTCCGGTTGTGGAGGCTGTGGTGGCGCCACCTGCATACGATTCTGTTGTTGTTGCGCTTGCCATTGTTGCGGTGCAGTTGGTTGTTGTACAAAACCACCACGCTGCATCATTTGCCCTTGAACTTGATTCGGGACAGTTGTGTTGTTGCCCAACATCGGATCACTATTAGTCTCGAAATCATTTTTCAACAGATTCTCAAAGTCGTTATCCGATAGAAGGGCAGTACCAGCAAGACTGCTGGTTGAAGAAACTTCCGCACCTTGCGACTGGAGCTGCTTCTCTTGCTCGCGCTTCTCCTGTTCCAATAATTCTTGTATTAAAAGCGGTTGCTCCTATAAAATATCATTCCCACCGATGTTAGTAAGCGCCATGGTGAAAACGACAACGCAAAGCAGAATGCGAAATTAATGGTTGCATGCAGAACACAACACCAAGAGAGTTAGAAACTATAATTCTAAGTTGATTGATCAATGATATGATATGATTTCGCTCACCTCCAAGAGCAAGGCGGGCCTGCGCAGCGCGTGCGCAAAATGTGGCCCATGACGAAGGGGCGGGCCTCCCATCTACCACACAGCATGCAAGCAACACCGGACGAACCGCAAACCGTTAGTAAAACTACTTTTATAATCCTACCTTTATGATATTATTAATCTTTAAATTTTTCAATTAAAAAGCGCTGATCAAACCAAAAAGAAACCAACCATCGATCGAAAACAAGACATGCGCAATAAACAAATGATTACCTGTTGGCCATTGCCCGGATACGGCGGAGGCGGGCCCGGGTATGGTGGTGGAGGAGGCGGAGCCTGTTGTGGTGGTTGTTGAACAACAGCGCGTTGTACAACCTGTTGTGTTTGCATCACACCAGGCGGCGCTGCCATTCGTGGATTGTTCAAGTTACGCATTTGCAACTTTTGATTGTTTTGAACTGAAACAAAACTCAAATTACACTAAAACATTAAAACTAATAATAAAATACATACTCTGCAACATTCTTTGCTGATGTTGTGGGCTGTAGCTTAAGATAATGCTGTTGTTAGCAGCCACTGTACCAATAACGCCATCTTGCGACATTATGCGTGATCCTTGCGCCATTGGTTTACCACGTGCGGCACATTGCTGAACCTAAACATTAATTTAAATCAACAATTTCTCTATTTTATTAAACAAAGAATAATTTACCTGTTGTAACATTTGTTGATGTATCAATTGATGATTGATCTGTGGTGGAATCATATGCAACTGTTGTTGTGGTTGCATAGATCCAAGCTGTTGCTGTTGTTGCTGCTGTAACAATTGTTGTGTTTGTTGCGTTGCAACCAATGGCGGCGGTTGCATTTTCTGCATCTGTTGCTGTACAACATTGATTGCTTGCACGGAATGAGGCGGGGCTTGCGCTTGCAGTTGTGATTCAATCGACCTTACAGCTTCCTGTTGTTGCTGCTGTTGCTGTTGACTCTGTTGTTGCGGTTGCGGCGCTTGAGCTTTAACCAAAGGCGCTTTATCCTTTTTATCATCCTTTTCCGGTTCGGCAGCATCAACCAAATCCAACGAGTCTAAAATATTAGTCTTCTCGCCATCCAAAGCATCTAATTCAGGATCCGCATACTCCAAAATATTAAAATCAGCGCCCATTTCAGCCAACAACTCATCCTCATCATCTCCTAACCCACCAAGGATATCACCCACGCCTTGTAATTCAACCATAGAACTAGACTCCTGCTCCAGTTTCTCTAATTCCGCAGTTACATTATCAGGGATTTCATGTTCACCTGGTTGATCAACATTCTGTTGTTGTTGTTGCTGTGGTTGTATACCTTGCTGTGGAAGTTGCGGCAGTTTCTGTTGTTGGACTAAAGTAGTAGGGATCTGATTCGGGTTAGGACGTATCTGATTCGCTGGGAATTGATTAGCCGCAGCGCGTTGAATCAACAACTGATCAATCTCAGCCGAGGCATGTCTAATAGGTTGCAGTTGTTGAGGCGTGACAAATCTCGGTTGCTGTTGGACATGCGGCGTTTGTTGAAACTGTTGTTGTACAACACCGCCCTGTTGTACCGGAACCTGCGCGCGTTGTTGTTGCTGCTGCTGCTGTTGTAACAAAATATGCCTCATCCTTGGATCTATACCTTGCATCCTAGTAGGATCCAACTGCATTCGAAGATTACTTATTGGTTGCCTAATAGTCTGAACAGGCACACGTAATCTACACGTAGGCGGAAGTGGTTGCCTAAATGTCGCCTCGCTTGTAACCGTTTGATTTTCACTTACAATCGGCAGGACTTCTTGCCCTGCCTCACCAGGTGGCCATACCCTCTGTTGCCCTTTACCAGCTAACAACTGATCATCCAACTTTTTAAACTGTTGTCTCTGCAGTAAATCCCTGAGCTGCCTGTTTGCTTCCGGTTCAGTTTTCTGCGGAAATGCTAATGGTGGGCGTGGTGTCGCAGTAGGGCGTGGCGTAGCCGGTTGATGCGCGTAGGGATCAGCAGATATAGACCTTACAATTTGCGGAGGTGTTTGTTGAACAAACCCATCACCACCATGCATTTCGCCTTGTTGTGGTGACATACCTTCCGCTTGCATAAAGTGTTGATTACCTTCAGACAATTGCCTCTGCACACGAACAATTGCTACACAAAACATAAAAATTAATTAATTTTATGTTGTGTGTACAAATGTTTAGTACTTACAGTTCGTACCTTGTACACGGTGTTCTTGAAGCACGTGTTGTTGTTGTTGGTTTTGCTGATGGCGTAAAGCCTGCATTTGTTTCCATTGGCGTTCTTGCTCCGCCTCCCGCGCAGACTTCTGTTGATTGGTCATCTTTTCTTGTTCCTATTCAACCAAGCACACAGCAAATATTACAAACGAATTCATGACAAATCATACTTATAAAAAGAGATATGAAGAAGTAGTAATCAAACTGCATGCAAACCTGAATTAATAAATTATCGGAAAAAAAATTGTTACAACAACAAGCTACAAGAAATCAATTCTGAAGACTATGTTTAACCAACACCAAATTAACCAGAACTTTTCTATTGTGAGTTATTCAATATTATGATATTATTATTACCCACAACCTGAGATTAGTTTATTATTTATTTGTTAATAACAATAGAAAAGCTCTGATTGTTTGTATTTTTTTTAATAAATCGGGATGAATTGTTCGAGGGATAGATTTAGGGATGTTTCCGACTTGTAAACGACGATTTTTGCATGCCGGGTTCGCTCGGCGCTACATCAAAATGATAGAGAACAAAACAACCAAAAACTGAAACTTCGAATCAACCAAAAAACGGACATTCCGACAGTCAGAGAGTCTTCTCACCGGTGGCTCGCAGGCTTCCTGACAGAGGGAGGGAAGAGTGCGCATTATTTCGGACGGGGTGAGCACGCGTATCTGATGGTCAGCCGCTGCTGATGGCGGCGGCTGGGCGTGCGCGTGCCGCAGCGACGGGGACGGCGCCGGCTCCGAATACAGAGGATTGACAGTGACATTTGGGGCGGGGCCGTGGCAATGATCGCCCGGTCCAAGAATCGGGCCGTGCACGGTGAACTGCTGCTGCGTGGGAATGGTGACAGTGACGTGAGATGATGATGATAATTGTGGCTGTGGTGGTGGTGGTGTGAGTTGTGGTGGGACGGAGCCGGGGCGCGATGGGGGCGTGATTGACAGTGGGCTGGGGCTGGGCGTCGGCGTGGACGCGCCGCTGGGGGCGCTAGGGACGCTAGTTAACGCGGTGGTGGTTAGTAGTAGCTGGCGTGCTTGCTGTTGTGAGTGGGCGGTGCACACCTCTGAGACCGTTGGCGGCTGCTGTGCCGCGTGGACGGGACTCGCGACTGCGGGCACGGCCGGCTGTTGCGCCTGCGCCGCCTTCACCGCGGCGCCGTTGCTCTCCTTGCTGATCTGTGAGCGGGCACACAACACATATCGATATAGACACAACTTGCAAGCTTGAAAGCTCACCCGTGAGTGAAAGAGGAGACAACAAATGAGATACAGATGAGTGTGTCGCGTTAGTCACAACACGTTCGCGTGATCAACACGCTCCGCAAATTGCCGGAAACGGAAACGAATCGTAAAAATACAACATACCTGTTGGGCCTTCTTCATGCGCTGCGCGGAGCGATTATCTTTGGCGCGCTGGAGGAAAGGAGCTTTTGCTTCGTTGCTAAGCGTGCGCCATTTTTTGATTATCTGCTTATAACGGTCACTCCATACGGGGAATTCAGTTTTCCATTCGGGTTGATTAGTATTCGCGTACAAAACCGCCGAAATCGTCGCGGAAAGTCCCAAAGCTTCATCAGCTTTCATTTTTTCCGATGACCGTTGATTATATGTGGTTGGTACATTCGCAGCAGGATCCATTCCTTCACCAGAAGCCTCACTTACATTCACCCACGGTGATGGTGGTTCACAATACGGACTAAACTGTGGACTACTAAAGAAACAAACAAATTTTACATACAAAAAATCATCAAAATATGAAATTTTATCCACTTACTTGCTAAAATCTGATTGATAAGGCGACTGTGGATAAGAACTGAGCGGCGAATTCAAATTATTCGCCGGCAGTGAATTTGGCCGGACATTCGGCGGTATCGCCGACTGCGGAGCCACGCCCACAACACCCACCGAAGGCCCCGCCCCTTTACCACTGGGCGTAGCCACCGGAAATACACCAACACCCACATTGGGCGTGGCAATCGGAAAGATACTACTCTCCTGCGACTCTTGACTCTCATCAGTCAGCACGCCCTTGAACAGAATATCCTCCACATCCTTGCTGTTAATATTTGGTATGTCTAAGTTGAAAATATCGCCGAACTCGTCTTTGGTATCCTTGGACGCATCGCCATCCGCGTCCAATCCTTGAATATCGCCGCTCTTCGCCAAAGCATCACCGCCATTCATAATGGTATCAACGATATCCGTGTCGAGGATATCAGGCAGTTCGAATTGATTGAGTGCGTCGTCACTTTCATCCTCTTCTTTCGGTACAAGCTTAGGCGGGGCGACCACGCCCACCACTCTGGCCACACCTTTGGTTTTCTGCACGGGTGCTTTACCAGGTGGAAGGTTTTTCTCTTTGGCTGTAGCAACAGCACGTAATTCATCCTGAGATAAATGAATAATCTTATCTTTTTCGAGTGTGGGTTTATCCTTTTCATCCTCGCTGCTCTCACTGTTGAGATCCTTCTGGGAATCGAGTAAATCCCGCCCGAAAAACGCATCCTGAAGATATACCGGGAAAGTTTCGGAGAGTTTACTCTTTATTTTTCGTCGAATTGGTTTACGGCGTGGTTTCTCTCCGGGATTAGTTGTCTCCATCATGGTTGGAGGTCCCAAAGGATCCGTAGGTGTGGTTTGACCGGGTAACATGTCAACTTCATCGTTATCCTGACCACGTATCCCCCTAACTCTTACAAGAAACCCTCCTATACCTAATTTTTGTAAATTTCTTTGACGTTTCCTTCGTAGGACTGTAATTCCACTTTCGCCTGTAAACAGAGTGAAACCCTCGGGAGGTGGGCCATCATCCTTGGTCCAAGTCATTCCTTCCTTATACAAATCATGCTCGTCCTTGATATCAACCAATTCTAACTTAGCATCCAATGAATTTTCCCCTGCGCCTACACCAGCGATGACCGATTCAATAGTCGCCATTATTCCGGCTTCCTTGTTATGCTGGACAACTTTCTCAGGCTTTTTCCGCTTTTTTCTAGTGGCTGAATGTTCCGAGCATAAAGATTTAATCAAATTATGCCCGTTTTCACTCAGGAGCACACCATCCATAAAATAATTCGAATTAGACTTGGAATCTGGTGATTTTGTAGGCGTAGGAGGTTTAAGAACAGGCACAGGGACAAGGTGCGGTGGTTGTACATCACGTGGTCTACATAATATACAAGTATACCCCTCCTCTGCGCATTTTTCCGCTTCTAATTCAGATTTGATACTGTCGCATGCCCCATGCAACCAGCGTTCGCATTGTGTGCATTGGATAATCAACTCGCCTTCACCATAACTCTCCTGGCAAGTGGGACATGAGACATGAGAAGCGCAAGGGCCGCATTCCGTGTAACTATTCATCCAGTTACAATTGAAACCAGGGTCTGTCGCGCCGCAAGTCTGACACAACGCGCACCATTTGCATTTCCAGTTACCATGTGGTACGAAAGTCAGTGGCGGATCCATGCAATATATATGAAAAGATATATCGCAATCATCACAGAGGACCAATCGGTTTTCATCGTCACGTTGGCCACACCCCTCACACACAGTACAATCCAGGCACCTCCAACCCGTTTGGAGGATAACTTTCGTTATTTTTACATTCACGCAATACGGGTGGTAGCACTGACCGCATTGAACACATGCAATTAGACAACCCTCTTGATCCGTACCGATTGCTCCGCACATAACGCAAATATCCTGCGTTAGGACATATTTATCCTTAGCGGAACACAAAACTAACCTGTTTTCAATCCCAGGTTCTTCATCTTTTGTCCCATCCGCTGTGGGACGTTGTAATCCAACTCCTGGTACCCCAAAAACCCCACGCATTTTATATTTAGCGCCGCGTTTGCGCCCGAATTCAGTCATGCGCTGGCGTTTCATAAACCCAACTTTACCAGGCATAAGTTTACCAACGCCTTTTGGCCGTCCCGGATACCCACCCGGACCATACCCTAACCTTTTCTTCGCTATTTTACAAGCGTACGGTTTACCCTTACCAAGGCCCATTGATCTAAACCCGTCGTCAGTGTACGGTGCGTCGAACTCCGATGAGTCGTCGAAGAGGGATTCTTGCGATGCGGACATGGAGTCCTCGTCAATACTGTTCCGCTTCGACAGCATATTCTTACACATTAAACACGTATATTCATATTCGGGATGCAGTTCCTTGCGTTGATGATAGGCAACCAGGTCAGCTTCGGCGTCGCAAGTACCATGCACAAACTTGCGACACGCAGAGCATTGGACCATTTCTCGATGCGCATGCGCTCTGTACGCTCGATGGCATATCGGGCAATTAAAACCTTTGTTACGTTGTTGGTAACATGAATCGCAGACGGTGTAATGCGCATGCCAGCGTGAGCTAAGCCCCGCGCCGGGTGTACGTGAGCCGCAATCACCGCAAACGCGACAACAACGGCACTTCCAGCCGTATTTCGGGATTGATGCGACGATGGGACGCTGACACATCGCGTGGTAAACCTTTTCGCATTGCTCACATGTGAGGAGTTTTGTTTCATCACCTGTGAGGCGGCATGTTTGACAAACGCGACATTTACGGCATTGCCAACCAGCGCGTACGCCGGGATGTTGAGCGAGACCCACGCAGGAACCATGGTAATGTTCACCACAGACAGAGCAGTACATTAAATTTGTTACATCACCGAGGGTTTTACATGTATAGCAGACAGAATCTGTAAAATAAAATAAACATTTTTAGTTATTATGAAACTGGTTGCCTATATTATGTTTAACTTACTTTCACATTTAAGTGCAACTTGACTCAGATGCAAGTTACAATAGAGACTGCAACTCCGCAACTCCTGGAAGGCCCCTGAAGCAGTCGCGCATGGAAAGTGGAAGATTCGCGTACATCCTTCCATTTTACAAGCTGCGCTTGCGCCGTAATGGTTGCAGAACGTGCATTTACGCGATATACTCAGCAGTAACGAAGGCCCGACATTATCAAAACCTAATAATTCTATAAACAAAACAATAAATTTAATAAATTTCATTAAAAAACAACAAAAATCATATTTACCAGTACGTGTAACTTCATGACTCCAATAAGTGCAGCTTCGATGCACATAAAAATGCCCCGACGGTTCGAAAACACTCTGTACATCGGGGTTTTCCGAGTATCCGATGATAGTCAACTCATCCACATACTCGCTGGTCATCGATGGATTCCGACACTTGTTGAAACTCTTCTGTCTTCGGCAAGTGACAGGCCCGCGCGGAGATTTATCACCAGGGTGTTCCGGCGTGCTGGTTACGCTAGATGGCAGTTGTTCAGTTGTGACACGTTCAGGAGTAAACCCATCTGGGCACATGAGGCGTATCAGTTCCCCTTGGCCTAGCTGACTGCGTTCCCCTAGGTTGCAAAATCCGCAAACTTTTCCAGGCCTGAATAAAATTAAAAAAGAACAAATTTTGTTTATTTTTGTTTATGATTAGTTGCCTACCATGATTCCGGTTTATAAGGGAGTTCTTCTTGTGCGAGCACACGCTCAGCAGGAACCAAAGCGCCTGTTTCAGGATCCAAAATCATCTCGTCTGCGGAGGACATCATCATCTCGCTGAAGTCGCTACGGTCGAAACTCTTGACGCGTTTCGGCGCGCCGCGTACACAATTCATACCGCCTGGTTTCCACTTCTTCATGCGCATCCCGCCAACACCCGTGACGGTATTTCGGCGTGGAAATGGTTTTCCTAAAATGAATACATTAAAACATTACAAAATAAAACTTTGTGATATGTTTACCTCCTTCACGCCTTGGTCTACCTCGTCCGCGTTTGATGCTCAGCGGTTTTCCGGAGAGAAACAACGGCGGGCCGCAGTCGTCGATCGCCGCCGGTGGTGATGAGGCAGCTGAAGTTGCCGCCGACGATGAATTGAGCTGCAGTGGCGAGTGCAACTCGTGCAACTGATCCTCGTCGGCGTCCGGCTCGTTATCGACGTCGTCGTCATCGACGTCCGACGGCTCGGCGTCGTCGAGGTCCATGAGCTCGTCGGCATCCACCACGCTCAGTTCATCCATTCCGCTGTACTTCACGCACTAGAAACATATACATTTTTACATTCCGCCGCACACGCGCAGATCGCAAACAAAATTAACAATTAAAATGCACGAAAAATTATTTTAGAAAACGCAAGATGCGGCGCACGCACACAGAGTGGAAACTAGTTTAATTTAATTAGTTTTAAGAGTAGATTTTGGTGTTTTGGAGTAATTTGCTAGGCATTCTAGCGTCGTGCGTTTGTTTCGTGCGGCGTTGTCGAGCACATCCAGCGCCATGTCAGTATGCGCCGCTGAGGAGCATACCGACCGAGCGTACCCGACAACCTGACTTGCACCAAACAAACGACGCGCGCCCGGTAACAACTTCAGCACTTGCAGTACACCCAGCATTGATTGCAATTAATTCGCAGCGCACTTACGCAGTATTATTTCGCACATTTTACGTTTGTATACATGTTGTAACACAACACAAAAAATTTGTCAACTACACTAAACTAAACGGTGGGCACGGTGGGAGAAGCGCCCGCCATTGATTGCCACAAACGCAGATAGAGGGCGCACGCGTCAGAACTACCAACCTCACCACATAAATATCACCAAAACTTACAACCAGTACTAAATTTGCTTATAAACTAATAAATTACAACATAAACCATTTATTTATACTATAAACAAAAAATCTAATAGTTTACTACTATAATGAAATACTTTGAGGTTAAATTATTAATTTTAATTAGCAAAAATAATTTTTAAGCGGATGGATTGGTGCAATGCAAAAGTCCCCAGAGTGCCAAGATTCTAATCATCGGGTGGAGTCGGCCGCGCCCGCTTATTACGCAATCGTAATGACCGCACGCCCAGCCGCCATCCAGGAGGACAAACATGATTGTTTATCTTTGTATTTTAATAGGTATAAAGAGTACATAGTTGCTTCAATCTAAAATTACACCGCCGGGCAATCAATGAGCAATAATATGATATAAATTTCCCTCTTGCATTCACTCCTCAATCTTCATTACACATTAATTTGTTTGTGTTTGTTATTAGTATAATCACTATGTGATACACAAGTAATCCAAGAGTAAACTTTGATTTCTTCACAAAAGAAACCCATCCAATACTACTACACATAATATTCAACAGCACTTTAGTTTTACTTCTGTCCAAATAAACGCGATTTCCTTTCCATTTTTGTTTCCATGTTTGGCCAATCAATGGTTTTGGCACCAAATCACCACGAATTAAACTAGAACCAAGTCTGAATTGTACTCAGTAACTTAAACTTAAACTAGTAAAGCTTTCATCCACTTCTGTTTACAAATCAATTGTAAATCAATGTAAATATAAGTATAAACAAACTTAAATTAAACTTCAATTGATAATCGATAAATAAACACTTGTTACATGACTTAAACGTGTGTTTCCCGCCATTTTAACTACAAAATTCATTGTTTTAGGTCTTCCCGTGCAACATACATCTAATCAGTCTTACAACATAGTAAACAACTTGAATTTACATCGATTTAAATCACAACCATCTCGTTCTAAACATTTTCTAAACTTCCACATTAGTTTAAAACATGTAACAAGTGTGTGTTTGAGTATATAGCAATAAAATATCTTAACGAATAAGATAAATAATATAAATATCACCGAGATTAACATACAATTACAGCAAGAGTAAATGTGATGTACATTTTAGGTTATATTAGTAGGTTATGTTTATGTTTGCAGGTTGCAGTTTCGCTTTTCATTATTGTTTTGTCTTTTAAAAGCTGATTTTTCATCATTCAGCTGCGTAATTACTAGCATCCGTGTCTTTATATGCTTCTTGTTTATATTATAACGTAATAGTTGAATTATTGTTGAGTCGAGTCGAGTTGAGTAAAATAGTTGGTACGCGATGTGAGATGGGTTGCGGTTCGAGGAGATTATCATCCTTGATTGCCGTCGCCGGCGGCGCTTGGGGGCAGGACAATGGAGACTGATTTGCGTGGGCCGTTGCGTGGATTCACCACGACTGCGTCACACACGTCTTCATCGTCGTCTTTTTCAGAAGAGAAGAGTTTTTCTTCGTCGGGGACATGGACTAGATTCGGGCTAAAAGTGAATAAATAATATTAATGATAAAATTATATTTTTAAAATTTTAATAAATACGTACCTGTCAAAAGTGGTTGGGGGCGGCGTAGGCGTCCGTGACATTGGGAAGCTTGCCACCTCCCGACTCACGGAGAGTGAGCGTATTGAGCCGAAGGGTTGATCCGGGGATGTTTGCACTATCGACGGCACCATTGCTCTGAAGAAAAGAGAGAAAAAAAAAAACAAATAAATATCAAATTAATTATGAAATAATTGCGTAATATTCGTTTATTTTTTGTTGGGGGTTATTTCCGTCTGGTTTTTCACGACCTTTAATCGTTCGCTGAGCTTTTCATGGCGTCAAGGTCACGGAACAATAAATATCTACGATGGAAATCAGTAAAAATATACAAAACTCGAAATAATTCAATAAAAAAACAAAAAATAATTTTTTATACGAATTTTCAACCCTAAATATTTTCTTATCATTTTATCGACTTTGTTATTATCAAATAACTATTGCGTCGTTATTTTTTTTGTCCTAAACGATGGTAAATCACTTTTGCAAACAGGCATTGCATGTCTGCCGTGTCCGAGTGTGCGAATAACCGAATTTATTTCGCAGCGCAAAAAAACACAAGCGAAATTTCGCGTGCAATGACGTTGGTATGCGAAAACCGGAGAATCGAATCGATGGTGGATGTTACGTCACACATACTTATGTAGTTAGCGTAGGGTAACAGGTTGCTAAATATAGATTCGGACACAAAACATGCCTGGAATCCACACAAGAATGCAAACAACCAAATGAAAAAGTAATGCTTTGCATGGTCAAGGATCACTAACAAAAGCATTCAGTCAAAAACCTATTCAACGACGGAATTATATGAGAAAAAAATGTACAAAAGATGATTTTTTTCTTCATATTAATTGAAGCTATAGTACAGTTGGTTATTTCATGAACATTCTACGTGAAACTTTTTAAATGTTAATTTTATTGCCGGATTAAAAATAGTTTTCAATGCCGCGCGGTTTTTATTTCGGCAGAAAAGCGAAAAAATCAATACGATATAATTATCATTAGCCTCTGTGTCTCGTGCGTTTGTTATTCGTGTTCCTAACAACATAAATATTATGCGTCCCTGCAGACAAGGCATACGCCAATGTTTGCCATCCCATTAAAACCGCTCACACGAGTACAAGGCGGCAGGAAAAAAGAAAAACAAACAGAAGGCAAAAAAATAAAGTACATAAACGAAAAACTACACATACACATAATAATGTGTGTGCAAATATAATAATAATCATACTAAAGATGTGTATGTGCCTCGGAAAGTAGCAATATTTACCACCGATTTTAAGAATTGCTGCAATTATACCATTTTTGATAAATACTGCGGGGGTGTGGATGGTGTGAACCTAAAGTAGTGCTCATTTCTTTTAGGCAAGCACTATACCCATTGTCGTTGTGTGTGAGAGTCAACAACAAATAGAAAAAAAAGGATTGAGGATTTTGAATCCTCAGGAACATATGGATCTAATAAGATCTTAAAGCCATGAAAATTCGAAAGAATGGCAATTGGAAATACATAGTCAAAAAAGTGTTAAGCTGCTGTGATACCCTTTGTCGCTATTTCCTTGGCGATTATTTCGTAAACGAAGAGATATACAGGAACGAATCTCGGCATTTTCTATTAGATCACATTTTATTCAATCGCGAATATCTCGTGAACTAAAAGAGATAAATAGGATCTGATCGCAGCGTCTAAATCTAAGGACTATTCTCTATAAGATAAGATAGTTAAAACGGAAATCTGAGAGATGAAATTTTCATTCTTAAGAAAAAAATTGCCAAGGGGGGGTGCTTGATACTTTTTTTCGACGATTTTTAAAAATTAATATCTCTTAAACTAAAAGCGATAGCAACCAACGAATTGCTGATTATGATAGATTGGAAAATTCTCAATCAGATAAAAATATAAAATAATTATATTTCCTACAGTAAAAGGTCGAAAAACGCGACTAAAAGTGCTAAAAAGTGACATTTATCAATTTTTGCCCGTTTTTTTCAAATGCGAATATCTCGTAAACTAAAAGAGATAATTAAGATCTGATCGCAGCGTCTTAATCTACGAATTATTCTCTTTAAGATACGATAGTTAAAACGGAAATCTGAGAGATGAAATTTTCATTCTTAAGAAAAAATTGCCAAGGGGGGGGGGGGTGCTTGATACTTTTTTCGACGATTTTTGAAAATTCATATCTCTTAAACTAAAAGCGATAGCAACCAACGAATTGCTGATTATGATAGATTGGAAAATTCTCAATCAGATAAAAATATAAAATAATTATATTTCCTAGAGTAAAAGGTCGAAAAACGCGACTAAAAGTGCTAAAAAGTGACATTTTGCAAATTTTGACGATTTTTTTCAATTGCGAATATCTCGTAAACTAAAAGAGATAAATAAGATCCGATCGCAGCGTCTTAATCTACGGACTATTCTCTATAAGATACGATAGTTAAAACGGAAATCTGAGAGATGAAATTTTCATTCTTAAGAAAAAATTGCCAAGGGGGGGTGCTTGATACTTTTTTTCGACGATTTTTGAAAATTCATATCTCTTAAACTAAAAGCGATAGCAACCAACGAATTGCTGATTATTATAGATTGGAAAATTCTCAATCAGATAAAAATATATAATAATTATATTTCTTACAGTAAAAGGTCGAAAAACGCGACTAAAAGTGCTAAAAAGTGACATTTTGCAAATTTTGACGATTTTTTTCAATTGCGAATATCTCGTAAACTAAAAGAGATAAATAAGATCCGATCGCAGCGTCTTAATCTACGGACTATTCTCTATAAGATACGATAGTTAAAACGGAAATCTGAGAGATGAAATTTTCATTCTTAAGAAAAAATTGCCAAGGGGGGGTGCTTGATACTTTTTTTCGACGATTTTTGAAAATTCATATCTCTTAAACTAAAAGCGATAGCAACCAACGAATTGCTGATTATTATAGATTGGAAGATTCTCTTTCAGATAAAAATATAAAATAATTATATTTCCTACAGTAAAAGGTCGAAAAACGCAACTAAAAGTGCTAAAAAGTGACATTTTGCAAATTTTGACGATTTTTTTCAATTGCGAATATCTCGTAAACTAAAAGAGATAAATAAGATCCGATCGCAGCGTCTTAATCTACGGACTATTCTCTATAAGATAAGATAGTTAAAACGGAAATCTGAGAGATGAAATTTTAATTCTTAAGAAAAAATTGCCAAGGGGGGGTGCTTGATACTTTTTTTCGACGATTTTTGAAAATTCATATCTCTTAAACTAAAAGCGATAGCAACCAACGAATTGCTGATTATTATAGATTGGAAAATTCTCAATCAGATAAAAATATATAATAATTATATTTCTTACAGTAAAAGGTCGAAAAACGCGACTAAAAGTGCTAAAAAGTGACATTTTGCAAATTTTGACGATTTTTTTCAATTGCGAATATCTCGTAAACTAAAAGAGATAAATAAGATCCGATCGCAGCGTCTTAATCTACGGACTATTCTCTATAAGATACGATAGTTAAAACGGAAATCTGAGAGATGAAATTTTCATTCTTAAGAAAAAATTGCCAAGGGGGGGTGCTTGATACTTTTTTTCGACGATTTTTGAAAATTCATATCTCTTAAACTAAAAGCGATAGCTACCAACGAATGGTTGATTATGAAATTTTATTGAAATTTTATTCAAACGCGAATATCTCGTAAACTAAAAGAGATAATTAAGATCCGATCGCAGCGTCTTAATCTACGGACTATTTTCTATCAGATAGAATAGTTAAAACGGAAATCTGAGAGATGAAATTTTCATTCTTAAGAAAAAATTGCCAAGGGGGGGTGCTTGATACTTTTTTTCGACGATTTTTGAAAATTCATATCTCTTAAACTAAATGCGATAGCATCTAACGAATGGTTGATTATGAAAGATTGGAAAATTCTCTATCAGATAAAAATATAAAATAATTATATTTCCTACAGTAAAAGGTCGAAAAACGCAACTAAAAGTGCTAAAAAGTGACATTTTCCAATTTTTGCCCATTTTCTTCAATCGCGAATATCTCGTAAACTAAAAGAGATAATTAAGATCCGATCGCAGCGTCTTAATCTACGGACTATTCTCTATCAGATACGATAGTTAAAACCGAAATCTGAGAGATGAAATTTTCATTCTTAAGAAAAAATTGCCAAGGGGGGGTGCTTGATACTTTTTTTCGACGATTTTTGATAATTCATATCTCTTAAACTAAAAGAGATAGCAACCCACGAATTGTTGATTATGATAGATTGGAAGATTCTCTTTCAGATAAAAATATAAAATAATTATATTTCCTACAGTAAAAGGTCGAAAAACGCAACTAAAAGTGCTAAAAAGTGACATTTTGCAAATTTTGACGATTTTTTTCAATTGCGAATATCTCGTAAACTAAAAGAGATAATTAAGATCCGATAGCAGTGTCTTAATCTACGGACTATTCTCTATAAGATAGGATATCTGAGGTATAAAATTTTAATTCCTAAGAAAAAATGGGCTAAAGTAAAACGGTAGCGACCAACGGATTGAAAAATATGAAAAGTTGAATTCTCTATATGACAATATACATATCCAACGAGTTAAAAGTAATTAACTAATAAAGACAATAATTTTTCTACAAATAAAAAAGTGTGAATCATAAGTACGCTAGTGAACTGTCGTGTAAAAATTGAAATTATTAGCTGTATTTCATGTTTGCCAGCAAATGACGTAGACGCCAACTACAAAGAGATGAAACCGATGAAACGCTATCGATTGATTCCCAAACGACGTCAGAATACGTGATGATGCTACCGACGCAACCGCCGCTGCCGCCTCCAATGACGCCAAAGAAAAAACTACGTCGCAGCTACTACAAATACTAAATTCGTCACCAAAGTTGTTTCTCATGTTAAAAATAGACATCTCAAGATATTAATAGAAACAACTGCTAAATAATAAATCATATAAAGTGATATCACGTGTAGAACTTCCCAGAGTAACATAGAATATCCACCCACACGGAAGATATTCATATTTTCATACAAAAAGTTAAAAAAAAGGAAGACAATGCAATTCTCACGGCTATTCAACCCTCTAATAAATAAAACGAAGTCTGTTGCCATTCTGAGAATACAACAAGCAACACCTGCGGAAATTTCCACCCCAGACAAGCGCATTAATTTAATATTAATCACAAACTCACCCAAATGACATGGAATTGACGAGGAAGGGCTGCGGCGTCGGGCATTGGCTATGCGGCGAGCTGGCCAGCGAACTCCGCGTGCTCGACACCTGACTGTGGGGACATTGTGGTGGTCCAACTGCAATCGCCCCTGGTCCTCTTCCCTTCGTCCAGCTGAAGAAACCGTTCTTGTTTCCGTTCTCTATGGCAGCTACAATAAAATAAACCCAACACATTCAAGCTGATTTTTTTTCAAACGAAATTGATGTTTACATAAAAATGATCAAAGCAATGTTTGATGATTGATGTAAATTTCCTAATTAAAATGTAAATAAGTGCCTAGATATTATCTCGTGCGAATTTAATTAGAATTGCTAATTTGTTTGCGACATGCATTGCCGGACAGTGCAAAAATGTAATTAATATTCGAGGCGTAAATAAATGACCCGGTCATCATTCAATATTGTATCTTTTACAGTTAAATATTAATCACTAAATTAGATTTTAAAAAACAGTACACGCATTAATTAAGTATTATTATTACGGATGATGATAATTAATTAATTGCTTTATCTATACATGTGCATAAAATAATAATTTTTTTAAAATTTGTTTTCATATTTTGTAATATGCAAATATAAACACGGGAATTAATGATGTCGAATGTGCGTAAGTTATAATTACGTTAATTACCTAATAACTGACGATAATAATTATGATTTACACGCGAAAAGTAAAAAAAATAAGTTTGAACACTTCGAAAAAGTGAAACAAATTCTAAAATTTCCATATTTTTTGTTAAATTTACTGAAATTGATTAATATTTGCAAATAATAAGCCTATTATTATCCCTTCTAAGTTGTTAAGCTCGTAATTTGTCCTAAAATGTATCATTTTCTATAGTATCTATTTAGTTTGCCTTGGAAGTTTCAAAACGTCATATTTTGCGCATCAATCCACTGCGTACAAACACTGCGGATACTGCACTCCACACCAAAACCGTTACCAAGTTTTATTTTAGCACACCAGCACTACTATTGCGCTATTTGTTCGCTTTTGTTTTACGCGCTGCGCCTTCCGGTGGAGCTATTACTTTTTGTTTCCAAGTTCCAGCTTTAATGTTGGTCGATAAATTACACAACACAGCAGAAAACACAAATACTCGAACTAACCTCAGTAACTTCAAGTTATAACATAACATAACATAACACAACACTAAAATGTACAATTTCCTGTGCAATTCTCAAGTCTCAACAAAACAATAAAATAAAAAGATCTATATCAATAAACTCTGATTAAACAATTTTTTCTACTTTAAACCGCCAGTTTTTCCACGGGTTATAGACACAAAAAGTGGTAATCACGCCAAGGTCGTGACTAAAGAGTTATAGGCCGTGACTAAAGTACTTAAAGCCGTGACTAAAGAAAAATAAAGCCAAAACTGGATACTTAATATCCTATTATGATTAGATTAATAAAAATTATTGCGTTTAAGCAATTCTCAGGTCATAGTAAAGTCGTTACGAATGATTTAGCTATTCATCATAAGCCGACTGGAATAAATAATGAGCATTAGCAATAACTCCGTTTATAGAATGGCTGCGCGCATGTTGTGCCTAACTAAACGCGAGTGAGTGCCCACGCGCTGGCGTAAATATTAATGAAGGCGATTGCGTTATCCTTTTAGGAAATCGTTTCCAATTCGCATTCGACATACACCAGTCCCAAACCAATTTCAATTTCTACGCTATTTATAACCCGAAACACTCAAATAATTAATTCACTATCAATTATTAGAGCATGAATAGTTAAATTTATAAAAACACGCGAATGTTTGATTTTTAAATCGCGTATAAAGAGGGAAAACATAGAAAATCCTTGAAACGACGCGAAAATTATACGATTTCCCTTGCTTGCTTGAATTACACCATCACAATCGATACGATACACAATACTCTCAACCTACACGTGCCTTGGGTTACAAGTTACGACTTGTAAGTCATGTTACGCGCTGATGAACTCCACTTATTTCATTTTCCACGTGTATAGTACATGGTTATTCAAATCGGTTTAAAATATAAATTGATAGTGTAATAAAATGCACTTACCGATCGTTTTTGAGCTGGTGACAGGACTCAGCGGATAGAAGTCCCCGTGTAGTGGACAATGAAAGCCCACAGTTTGTTCCTTCATGCGCGCTCGGCGTGTTAAAACGCAGAGTAGCGCCCCGCAGGATAGCATCAGGAAGCCGACCACAATGCAGAAAGGCCCCAAGATTCGTGAATCGCCTGTGAATGCGGTGCGTTCCGCATAGTGATCAGGTTCTTCGTTTTCGCCAGGACCACGATATGACGCCGCTGGAATAAAGTAGGGAATTTATATTTCTAAATGTCATGAATCTGGTTAAAGTTGAGGTGAAGTCAAGTTACAAACATGAAACGGCGCGTCATGTTTGACACCACAAAGAAAAATGTGCATAATAAAGGAAATGTTAATGACGACGATTATTACAATACAATAATGTCAGAGTTCAGAAATAATAATCAATACATAAAAATACTCTAGGAGCGTATTTCTAATCCTTATAATATGTAACATTTGCAATCTAAGAGATGAAAAAATAATCCATAAGGAAAAATAAGCGAAGGAGGGTGCTACGACATGTTTTTGACTATTTTCGGTAGCGAATATTTCCTAAACTAAAAGAGATGGCGACCAACGGATTGAAGAATATGAAAGATTGGAAAATTCTCTATCAGATAAGAATTTAAAAGAATTATATTTCCCGGGGCAAAAAGTGCAAAAACGCGACTAAGAGGTAAAAGTGCAATTAGTAGTCACTTTTACCGCTCGTAAGGTACCCTGAACACGAGTCATTTCTACAGCTACCCTTGTACGGTGCCCAGAACACGAGTCACTTCTACCGCTACCCTCGTACGGTGCCCTGAACACGAGTCACTTTTACCGCAAGCTTCGTACGGTATCTTGAATACGAGTCACTTCAACCGCTACCCTTGTACGGTGCTCTGAATACGAGTCACTTCTACCGCTACCCTGCTACAGTACACCTAATGAGACTCAACCATACAATTGCAATTAATTGCAATATATAACTAAATAAACCAAGAAAACTCAACGTACTTGACATATTCAAGTCAATAAACTTTAATTCAACCGTCTGGCATCGCAAGGAATGTAAATGTTCGCCTCGGTTAATTAAAATGCGTCTCCACGCTCGATTTCAATTTTCCACTTCATTAGCATTAATAAATTGAACATTTCGCATACAAAACAGATAAAATAATAAAATTGAGATGCGAAGCAGACAATGCAAACAAACCAAACCGGAAATAAAGGCTATTTCATCGCGATAAACACTTGTGTGAAACTCAATTCACATTAACATGTTTGATGGCATGTGTTGTCTAACAGCGTTTAGTGTTTAGCGAGTACTGAATGTGATGCTTTTTATTAGCGCGACCTTGAATCTTGAATCGTGCATTCATCGCCGCACGTTTTCTATGCATCCACAACACTTGTTGATGTTGATAATGTGCCTGATGATGATTTAACGACGAAAGAATTGCATTAACAAAAATTGGCGTAATAGAATATAATTATAATTAGAATAATTATAAATTATTCGTAAACATGCACAAAAAACGTGATAAAATTTGATATTTTTTCGTTAAGCCGATTTTTTATGCATGTTTAACACCTTGCGCAGCAGTAGTCTTGAATAAATTTACTCAAGAGACAAGTGTACACAGGTGTAATGTGCTTATCTCGTGTGTCACACGATGCGCAAACAAAAAATCCAAGCGCAATAAATCGCCAAGAAGGGCGCCGACACGTAAATATTTATGGAGCAGTTAAATGTTAAACAAGTTGAATAAAAGCAAAGTAAAAAATCAGAAGCAGTACCTGTGAGCACAATGCCGACGAGAAGGAATAGGAAACCGAAAATCGGGACGATTATCTGGCAGCTGGCGGCGACCACCACGCCGGCAACCATTAAGCCACCGTCTACTTTTTCCACCCTTAAACGGGTGACTGCCGCGGGGCATCGGACTTTACTGCCGTCGGTTAGGCCTTCTTCGGATGCTTCCCGAGGCCTGAAACAAACAAAATAATATTTTATTTTTATTTATAAATGAAGTTATTACACTTCACAACGGATTGTATTAAATATAGAGCGATTAGATTCGAAAAAACGAAAGTTATGTTATGTTACATCGATTATTGGCTTTGACAAGCGTAAAAACCGAAGAAAATAAAAGTGGGAAATAAAATAAAATCAAAAACGTGTAATAGTACAGGATCCGGGGCCTATTTTGTCACTTGATTACTATCAAGCTAATTTTCCGTGAGTAGCTTCATTTTGATAAGACGCCCAACAATTTCCTGTGCGAAAATTTTTGATTGTGGTAGTTAACAGAGGTAGCAATGATAAAATATGTCGATTTGATGATTCTCAAATATTAATTACTAACTGGATTGTTTTTTATTATTATATAAAAAAAAATCAGCTGGTTAGTAATAATTTTTGGTGATCTCGTTATCAATACATGTTGGAGGGGGAGGACTCTTTGATGAAACCATAGATTTTGTAGGACAAATATTTTTTCAAATAATTTAGATAATTATCTTAAGATTTAATAAAAAACAATCCAGTTAGTAATTAATATTTGAGAATCGACATATTTTATCATTGCTACCTCTGTTAACTACCACAATCAAAAATTTTCGCACAGGAAATTGTTGGGCGTCTTATCAAAATGAAGCTACTCACGGAAAATTAGCTTGATAGTAATCAAGTGACAAAATAGGCCCCGGATCCTGTACTATAACGAGTAATGACGCAATTGATAAAAATAGAAATTGTGGTCAAACAAACAAAAATATCAACAAAACAACCGTTATTTTTTACCGAGTTAAACTAAAAACAAATAATGATTGCGTAAACTTTTCGCAAGTTAAACCATAAAAACCTACACTATTAAAGTAAGATTAACGTATTTTGTTTGTAATTCGTAATTTGATTACACATATACATATTATTTATTATTTATTATATTCTCTTGTGGCAAGACCTAGTTTTTTCACCCAAACTTTTCTTTTTTATCAACAAATCTCTCGTCTGGCAGTTTAATGACTCTTTGCCAGGGCTGCGTGTGGCAAGAACTTCGATCTAAAACTCGAATAAACCAATAAACTAAACAATCATCACGAAAGTTCATGACACAATACCATACTGCTTTAAATATTGCTAAAATATGACTAAAAATCATATTAAAAGTATACTATAGTGAATATTATTCAACCAGCTGAAATTAAATCCACAGCATGTAATATAAAGTGCAGTAGTGATCGCAGGCTCGAGTTATTCATGAAATTGGGTCAACGACACACGAAAACAATGCTGCATTGCACAAAGGAATGCACTCGTGTCAAGACGAACAAGATGCAAGCATTTAATTAAACTGAAACTTTTCAACTCGTCAATTTTACATTCTCAACGAGATACGAGAGAAATATGAATTTATTATATATATTATAAACTTGCGAAAGTAAAATTAAAAGCAAGTAAAGTTGAAAGTTCAGTAACCTTTCCTTGTTTATTGTTTATATTATATTATTCATTGTGGTAAAATGAAAAATATGCATTCCCAACATTATATTTTAATAATTTAATAATGTATTTGTGTTAAAATTAAACGTTTAATAAAATTGCGCATTTGCGAAATGTGATCCTCATCACAAAAACGCCCTCGAGGGAATTGCGATAATTACACATGAATATGACTCACGCCAGAGACACGTGTAGAGTAAAGAACAAGTTCATATCGTTCTTAAATGAACAAAGTCCACATTACACGATGCAATTACACATTTCCAGCCATGAACATTCCATAAACGCTCGGAAATAGCTAAGTTATTGCAAAAATTGCAAATATTCAATATGGTATCAATCTATGTAGTAATAGAGTATAAACAAACACTAGCAACATTACTAAACTATTCCAGACATATCCAAACAACTAAAAATCTTTATTTATTTATGAAAAAACTTGTAATGTGCCATAAAATGTGTCAAAAATAAAAATATTCAACGAATATTAAAAGAATCCCTATAAAAATAGATTCACCCAAATATTATTGTATTGATAGTTGTGTGGTAAGTAGATTAGAAACAGTAGATGATAAGTAAACCGAGTAAGGCGAGTCAAAGTCAAGACAACGTGGAAACCGAGCGGAAAACGTGATGCGTAAATCAAACAGAGGCCTTGAACGAGTTTTTCTCTCTACTAGGTCTCGTATCAGTCAGTATCTCGTACTGTGTCCAATGTCTCTACATATTTAAACACACATTGAAAAATTGGCTCGTTAGTCATTACTTTAATACTTTTTTTAGATATTCTCATTAGAGTCAATGTCAAGTAATGTCTATTTACTTTTTGTTCGGGGTTTCATTGTCTTGAGTAATAAACAAAAAGCAAAACAAGACAAAACAAAAGAAAGTGTAATTATAATGTTGTACATGTGTAATCAGCAATCAAAAAATAGAATATGTAGTAATGTATTGTTGGAGCTTTAAAAAGAAATGAAAAAACGAAGTAAAAGTTATTTTTAAAGCAAAAAAAGAAAGTTTTAACTTAAATTTGGTTCTAATTCGTTAAAAAATTAAAATTTTGTTTTTTGGGTTTGGTTTAACTTTGATTTTGCTCATAATTAATAAATTAATTAATAAAAATTAAATTACTCTGTTAATTTGACAAACCAAGCAGTAATAACAAAAGAAATACGTACTAATGAATTGCTACAAAAGAAAAATAAAAGAAAAACAAGTAAAAAAGAAGTAAAAGTATTTTTAAACTAAAAAAAGATAGTTTAAACTTAATTTCGAATGTATTTCATCAAATTAGTCAAGTTTTCTTTGTTTTTATAGATGAAATAATTAATTCAAAGTTGAAAACTTAAATTATGTTCTTTAGTTATTAAATAAATGAATAAAAATTAATGCACACGTACAATTTGACATACCAAGCCGGTTTGGCATTACCACCAGCTTCTAATCCATGCAGAGAAATCTTGCCGCGATTACCAAAGCCGCCATTGCCGCCACATTTACTACCATTATTGTTCATCGTGCCGTGATGGAAAGTCATTTCGACTTTCTCACACTCTAATCACAACCAACACTTTCTCACACTTTCTTCTCGCAGCCGGTCGACTTTTAAATGAAAACGTTTACAATATCAAACTCATATAAACGAATTCATTTCACGTGAACAATGCGCACGTATTCACTTTTATTGTTCCATAAATTTCCTGTGCCGCACTGACGGCGAATATTTTTGCAATGTATTTTTAGATCTCGCGAATGTTTTTCAAGAGGACTTTTTTGATAGTGTGCCAATTTTTTCTTCTTCGCGCATCAAGCGGGCGTACGGAATCAAGAAGCGCGCATTTTACAACTTAATTTTATAGATTTTTTATTTTTACTGTTAGGTTAATTTTAATTTTAGTTTTACCCGAGTTGTAGTGTTGTAAATGTACAGTTACACTTTGAAAACACAACAAATCACTTATACATAGGTTTATACTGCGCGAAATTGAAATCAGAAAGCAGAAACCGCGCTTGCCGTGCTCGTCGGCGCCGCGGCCAATGCGAAACTGAGCAGCTGAGAGCCGTGCTGGTGGCACAAGCAGCACTGCGGTATGTGTGCGGTGCTAAACAGAAACGTCGACGATTGTGTGTGCTGCCTGCGACCTCGTCGCAGGATTCGAGCTGGCACTGCCAGGAATCACACTCGACTCATACTCATACAGAATGTGCGAGTAGCGCCAGACGTAGTGCGATGACGCATGCGTCACTCCTCATTAGAGCTCATTAGCGGTTCAAAAATTCTCTTTATTCAATTATTAATTTTTTTGAATTTTAGAATAAGTCCTATCATCATAGGAAAATTTTATTTCACTACCTGGGTATTAAATTACTAATTTTATTTGACATTGCTAACAATATAAGAACGCATAAAAAGATGTCATTTTTTTCCTTCCGTGATTGTTAGTAAAAGGGTTGGAGGGTTGTACAGGCTGGTACAGAATTTTTACGAGAAGAAGTTGAGAAAAAAGTGGTGCCAAGCACTAACGCAACTTCTATCCGTAAACTTTGCTATGACTGCGCAAACGATTGTTATCTTTCAAACTCAAAGAAACTCGACGAAAAATCGGTAGAATTTTCCTTTCAACTTAAAATATACTTGCTGCAAAATTTAAATATTTAATATTTATGTATTAAAATTAAAAATTGTGTGCGTTTTAAGTTGTGACTCAGAAAATTGCAATAGTCATCCATCGATTTCCAGAATTTTAATTTAAACCAATAAATATTTGGAGCAATCAATTAGTATATTGCTAGAATGATTATATTAAATCAGCAGAATATTGCATACGCTGCCAATTCTTGGTAGATAAATGAATATCTATGTCTAATCAATGATGTATACTACGTTACTATAGTATAGTATTCGTCACTACTGTTTACTTCGCGAAAATTTAATAAAATGACTAACAGACATAAATAAATGTTTATCGGAAGCCACAAAGAAGACAAAAACAACGAGAAACCCGGATAAATAATATTAATTCCCAATATAAACATCAATTATACTCAGAGAGTAATAATATTGTTTACGTGTGGATATGGGTCGCAATTTCGTCTCATTTTTCATTACCTCAAGCGTAAATGAAGTGCCCCCAATAACCTCTACTGAATTATTGATAAATAATTCAAATTAGAAATCAATAAAAACAATAATTTTGGGTCTTCATATGATTATTATCTACTAGGCACCCCTTGGCGATTTAATCAGGAGTGATGATAATGTATGACCCACAATGACCCAAAATATGTCTTAACATGTAGCTATACACGCTTAAGCGCTTAAGGCGCACAACGTACGCTTACCCCCACCACTTTTTGCGGGTTACCGCAGGTATAAACGCATTCAGTTTTGTTTGAGTGGTCAAGCCTATAGCTTCCTTCGTTTCTCTTTTTCCTCTTCACTGTCGTAACTTCCAAAGTGTGAAACGTAAAACGCATAAAAATAAATACGTACGAGTACATAAAATACCCATGAGGAAGTAAACCGCGCGGGATATAAATATGCATTGCATCAACCTGCAGTTTCTTCATTCACTCAATTACTCACGACTGTTTTTACCCGCATTTCTTACTTAATAACTAAACATATATTTAATAAAAACTTCCGACTGTTTTCAAATAAACTGTAATACTTAAATATTACATATTTATTCAAATATTTTATTAAGCAGGTAGTTAAATAATACTAAAACATCTAATACTGATTGTTTCTAACATTGTCTAATACTATTTTCTATATAGTTGGATTGCTGTTAATTATTCGCTTATTGAATGTTATCGATGGCGTCGCTGGCGATTCGCACAATCAACAGAAACACCACCAGCGTGCTCAAGTCACGTAACACGCCGGCGAGCGTCCCTTCCGCGCACGTCGCGTAATTGTGCGCTGATGTACCAGTCGCCACACATACGTATCTACGGTAGAATTTGACTTAATTACTTACTTAACTAATTGCCTAACATATACAAGCAAACATACCTGCATGAGTATAGCATGTCTTATCGAAATATTAGTCATAAAATGACAATAACATTGTATTAATATTTTTCGTAGTTTTCGCGGTCGTTTTTTATGTTTTTAAAGGTTTTATAAATTTTTCACATGATTGAAGAAGAGAGTATTGTGCTAGAGAGGTAGAGGTGGTTCATGATAGTGATCGAGTGCGACTAACTCGATTTGGTTGTGGTTGAGAGACATGTGCTAGTTTAGTTGGCTGCTAGTGTAGGTAGGTATTTAGAGTAAGTGCATAGCGCGTGCTCAGCGCTCGGAAAAGCGAGAAAACGACAACGGCAGACAAAATCGAACAGAAGCGACGCTTTCTATCTATTTTCTATACGTTCTACAAACGCGAGTGCACCTTTAAACAAACCTAACTAGACCTACTAGAGAAGAATCGGAATATTGAATTGAATGAGAAAATATTGATTTTTATACTTACTACTTCAAAATTGATGTTAATTTTACGCAACAACATGAGTAAATCTTGGAATGTTTGAAAATAGTATTATGAAGAAAGGAAAATTCTTGAAAAATAACAGAAAATCAAATATTTTCAATTGCGAATATCTCGTAAACTAAAAGAGATAATTAAGATCCGATCGCAGCGTCTTAATCTACGGACTATTCTCTATAAGATAGGCTAGTTAAAACGAAAATCTGAGAGATGAAATTTTTATTCTTAAGAAAAAATTGCCAAGGGGGGGTGCTTGATACTTTTTTTCGACGATTTTTGATAATAAATATCTCTTAAACTAAAAGTGATAGCAACCAACGAATCACTGATTATGATAGATTGGAAAATTCTCTATCAGATAAAAATATAAAATAATTATATTTCCTGCAGTAAAAGGTCGAAAAAGGCGACTAAAAGTGCTAAAAAGTGACATTTTGCAAATTTTGACGATTTTTTTCAATTGCGAATATCTCGTAAACTAAAAGAGATAATTAAGATCTGATCGCAGCGTCTTAATCTACGGACCAATCTCTATCAGATAGGATAGTTACAAGGGAAATCTGAGAGATGAAATTTTCATTCTTAAGAAAAAATTGCCAAGGGGGGGTGCTTGATACTTTTTTTCGACGATTTTTGATAATTCATATCTCTTAAACTAAAAGCAATAGCAACCAACGAATTACTGATTATGATAGATTGGAAAATTCTCTATTAGACAAAAATATAAAATAATTATATTTCCTGCAGTAAAAGGTCGAAAAAGGCGACTAAAAGTGCTAAAAAGTGACATTTTGCAAATTTTGACGATTTTTTTCAATTGCGAATATCTCGTAAACTAAAAGAGATAATTAAGATCTGATCGCAGCGTCTTAATCTACGGACCAATCTCTATCAGATAGGATAGTTACAAGGGAAATCTGAGAGATGAAATTTTCATTCTTAAGAAAAAATTGCCAAGGGGGGGGTGCTTGATACTTTTTTTCGACGATTTTTGATAATTCATATCTCTTAAACTAAAAACAATAGCAACCAACGAATTACTGATTATGATAGATTGGAAAATTCTCTATTAGACAAAAATATAAAATAATTATATTTCCTGCAGTAAAAGGTCGAAAAAGGCGACTAAAAGTGCTAAAAAGTGACATTTTGCAAATTTTGACGATTTTTTTCAATTGCGAATATCTCGTAAACTAAAAGAGATAATTAAGATCTGATCGCAGCGTCTTAATCTACGGACTATTCTCTATAAGATAGGCTAGTTAAAACGGAAATCTGAGAGATGAAATTTTCATTCTTAAGAAAAAATTGCCAAGCACCCCCAAAAATATAAAATAATTATATTTCCTACAGTAAAAGGTCGAAAAACGCGACTAAAAGTGCTAAAATGTGACAATTTACAAATTTTTTAAAAGTCAGCTACACATTCATCCACGTACGGTGCCCTGAACACGAGTCACTTCTACCGCTGCCTTCGTACGGTACCTTGATTGGGAGTCACTTTTACCGCTAGCCTCATACGGCATCCTGTATATAAGTCACTACTACCGTCACCCCCTATGGTGCTCTGAACACGAGTCACTTTTACCGCTAACCGTGTACGGTGCCCTGACTGTAAGTCACCTTTACCGCCACCCTGATACAGTACACCGAATGAGACTCAACTATACAATTGCGGTTAATTGCAATATATAACTAAATAAACAAAGGAAAATCAACATTCTTGACATATTCAAGGCAATAAACCTTAATTCAACTCGCAAAGCTCATAATCACGTAAAAATAAATGATTATAAAATCAAACATTTTTGTTATTATTCAGGAATTTATCGACTAATCAAAGATAATGATAATAAATGTCAGCGAGTCTATTTGTGGTTTACCTCTTTACCACCCGCTTAACCCACACAACAAATCGATAGAGTGCACCTGATACCTCCACATCTACCCTTTCATAGCCTTACATCCACTAAACACCAATCAAATGTGTATTAAGTATTTACAGAAATAAACAAATCAATACACCAAACCACATCATCTAAACTTTGGACGTATGCGCCTATTAATACCCTTAATTATTATTTAAAACCCTGGACTATTAATAAACCATCTTGTTAATTTAATTTTTTTCTTAATATTTTACCACTCACCATTCATATTCCTCCCCATCTGCATCACTCCCAACGTTGCTCTCAACCGTATCCACATTACTATCCTGCTCATCGCGATGCACATGCCTCAATCTATTCCTGGGCCCCTCCTGCTCGTGCTGAGCAATCAGCGGCCTCAACAGTATATCACAATAACAATGCATCACACCGCGTATTCACATATCACTAATTTAATTTATTATTTACTTATTACGCAAATATTTAATAATCAAGAGTAGTTTCGTTTTCTTTAGGGTGAACACCGTATATGCGGATTGAGCGCTGTGCTTGTAACCCGTAAAACATAAAATAAACTGCGTTTGACATTGCCCGAGTTATACATGTCCAGTACAATTGATATGTACTGTTACCATGACTGCACATGTTTGAATTGTTGTGGTCAGCGCCGATCGAACCCCGATACTAATCATGCGACTGCACCGCACAACACACAACAACAATAAAACCATGTAGATACTTTCATTTGTGAACATGACCATCTGTTGTCTCAACATAGCTATTTTACCCACAAACAAACAAAAAAAAACTAAGTTTTGGTTGCTATGGATACATGGTTGTCATGGCAACCAAAAACATCTGTCCACCATCTTGTAATAATATAATTAAAAAGAGATTAAAACTTACATGTTAACCTAGGGCAGGGCTGGCTGTTGGCCGTGGGCCGTTTCAACCACAACACAGCTGTGCCACCATCAAAACTCGTGGTGCTTTATTCTCACATCTCACATTCTCTTCGCGTTTCTGCGCGCTGCTTGTAGCAACGGGCGCGGGTCGACGACCCGGCGACGCACACTCGTTCACCACTCGCAATTTAATCGCACCGTCTGGTAATGCAATCCAAATCCAGCGAGTTGGATAATAATAACATGAATTGCATTTCGCAAAAAACGCAATAGAAATATTTCTAAGACTCACTTTTATATGTTGTTTGCACCTTGGTTGTCGCACGCGTATTGCTAGTGCTTCTTGTGTGCAGCTGTCGCAGCAACCAACCCAGATTTCAACCGGGCCGCACACACACGATTATCAGCGAGCTCGCGTTCATCGCCCACATCGAGCTCTTCGGATGCTCTTCAACTATACTCGTAGCGCACACAACAAAACGCAGTGCATGCCAGAAATTGCTGGAAATCGTACTGCTAGCGACATCTGTAAACAAAAAGAAACAACTATTGCAATATTTATCTAATAATATGAAGTTTTTATCCAAAAACAATAAAAAATAAAGCTTTATGATGAAAATAACAATAAAAAGTTGTTATTTTCAACTAAAATTTAATAAATTTTTATATAAAGCTATGTTATTACTTAGATAAAAGTGTAAACATGAGTTAACACTTTAAAATAATTCTACATACTTGATAGTTAATGAAAAACTATCGATTAACTCATTATTTCCGAAACAATATCTGAAATAGAACAAACACTCGCTTTGATTAATTATTATCAATAACTATTTGTTCGCAAAGTGAATGGTGAATAATTAACGCATGGGTTGGGAATGGGCAAGTGGCCCCACTTTCCTCATCAATTATTTCCGGAGAAAAGCCGGTTGTTTATCGACTTTATTCCAAAGTCACCCGCGTGGAAATCATTGCGATTGGAAACCTTCACTTGGACAGTGTTTCCCATCGAATTCCCATCAAATACAATACAATAAAATAAAAACAAACTCCAAAAATGGATTTTCCTATGGATATTGACTTGGAATCCAAAGAAATCATTGTTGAAAGTGACATTTCCGATAAAACAACCGATGCAGAAGACCCGGAAGTACAGAAAAAGTATAAAATGATGTTATCACTGTGGTTGTCCTTTTGCCTGGTTGGTTTTGTTTGGTTCGTGACCAAAGTGCTCAAGGGGCGTCAAAGAATCAAATATAATTTCTCAAGCATCGAGGAGCAGTTGAAACGCATGCAGGCTGTTATAGAAGAACGGGAACGCGCAATGGCGGATAAAGCTATTACAAATGAAGATCCGAATCAAAATAATGAAGTAACACAGCAACAACCGAAAGTTTCACCTGATGCGCAGAAATTACTCGAGGATTTATCGAAAGCTTTTAATAAAAGCGACAGTGAAGATTTGGAAAACGTTGAAGAAATTGAAGAAAATGTAGAGGATACAGAAGTTAATGGAAATATTAATATGGATGATGATTATGATAAAGATGATGATGAAGAAGAAGATGAAGAAATTGTTACGGAAGTTACAAGTAGAAGAAGAAAATTTATTGACAATCCTCTGGATGAAGATAATGTTGAGTTAATTCGTGATACAATAGAAGATATTATTCAGGAAGGCATCCAGGAAGTGGACAAAGATAAAGAACCATCCAAAAAGGATAACTAAATCAAAATAAACTAAGAAATACAGAAACTTGAATCAAAAACGGATTTTTTTGTTCTTCGTTGATTATTTATGGAAGTGTGAATATTTTACTTCATTTTATTTCGTTTTCCTGAAGTGTTACTGCAGAAATTTATGGAAATGTGAATATTTCTAATGATGAAGATGTCATTCAAGAAAAAATGACATCAAAATCAAAATAAAACGCAAAAAAATACAAAAAACATCAATCACAAACGGATTTTTCCACTTTTCCTATTCATCACTGATTCTATTCGGAAGCATATCGATTTTATTCCGTTTTTGTTTCCGTTTTCCTGACGTGTTACTTCCGTTGCCAAGTGACGACGTGACATTCACTCATATCACAAGGTAACAACGTAAACCCACAACCACTCTACCCAAAGAATAATTTAGTCGCCTTTCTACACAACCAAAAAATGGTCCGCCCGCAAAAAGTATCCGTCGACGTCTGGAAAATGGTCTGGGGCTCATGCTCATACCTCGCGCTGGCATTCGCCGCATGGGTATTCCTCAAACTCTTCAACGCTTGCTTCTGGCTGCCTGCTTTCCTACGCGACCGCGCGAAACAACTAAGCATGGAACAAAACGATGAATTCAAAGACATTTCATCCTCACCCGCATCCTCAACATCATCACTAAACAAACCCGAAGAAAACGAAGAAGATACAACGTTAATCGGTAAAAAAACCAAGTAAACTAGTCTACAAAACGCACGGGTAATTAAATGTACAAGTTTATTCATTGATTTTTAACCTTAGACGAATAAATAAAAACGTGTTGAACTTTTCTTACGTATGCGGACGTTATGGTATCGTTTGTAAACAGTCTCGTATTTGCATCCATGTGTGAAGACCCTAAAATGAATAAATAAACAAATATATTGATATTTTTCACTGAAAATCAACAAAAAAACCTTTTTGGCAGTTTTATATTGCAAACAAACATACGCCTCGAGCGTATCCTTCAAATCCCTCAACTTCTGCTCCTCAAACCGATCCATATCCTTCAGTGCCCTGTCACAGAACACTTCCAAATCATCCTTAGCACGATGCACAGCTAATGCACCTTCCTGAATCTGCGCATCCAGACTATTCACCTTTAACTCTCTCACTTCATCAGTATCCACCGCACCAAACAATCGAGCCATCATGCCTAATTTACCTTGCTGTGCACGTGTCCGCTCAATATTCTTCGCAGCGACATTATCTTCAGCTGCTTCGAGCTCATACTGAAGAGTTTCTTGTTTTTTACAAACATTCTGCATACTCCCAGCAAAGAATAAGTACTCTTTCAATTGATCCACCAATAATTCTTCATCCTCTAGAGATGCATCAATACTAGATGCTAGCGAATCTAAATAATGTCCTGTTTTCTGCAGGGCATCACCCATATCTTTCTCAATGGCCGACCATTCAGAGAAAACCCTTCCGTAATTCGCGTGTAACTTATAAACCGCGTATTGTTTATCAGCAACTCTCGATCGTGCTTTTAATAAATTATATAAATTCGTATGGAATGTAGTTGCATAGGTTTTCAAGCCTTCAAACTTTGCATCTGTGTGTTTTAACCGGACAGAAACACTTAAAGACTTTAATTTGTTTTCTGCGAGTTGTAGATAGCCATTTGCTTTGTAACTTTCCCTCCAGCCATCTTCACTGTTCAAAAACTCTAAGAAACTTACATCTTTACACAGAATTTCGTGGCTGGCGATGCGTAGAAGGAAGTTTTCTAACCCTGCACGTCGCCGGTCGACAAAATCCGGATCAAATGTGTCTGTGCTGAGTTTCTGCCAGCCAAACATCACTCTCTTCTCGGGAAGTGGTGGGATTACAACATAAGAGTATGTCAACTCTAAATAATCTCGCAATTGTTCGAATTCGGTGTATCTACGCCATACTGATGATAATTTTGGTAGTGTACCATTATAATCAGGATCTATTACTCTTAAAACGTTAAAAAATTAATGTTTTATTATTTTTATGAGTTTTATTTTGTTTTTACTTACTTTGTTTCTACTAAATACACTGTATAATATTCCCGAAGGTTTAGGGAGCCGTTCGCGCGTTTTTCCGACTCGGGAATGGTGATTTCCACATGCGAAAGTAAATTCCCGGCGGTCGAATGGAAATTCTCAACTGTTTCACTCATTTTTAACCTCTAAATTCACTAAACGCGACTAATTTCGTTGTTTTTAGCGGCGGAAACGTCGCAGTAAACAAACTAAGGCGCGGATATCATTAACGCAATGATAAATTACCATTTTATCGCGTTGAATAATATAATTTGTGTAAATGTATACGGTTTTAATCGAAATAACTGGAAATAACCCAGTTATATTTTTATCTGCAGAGTTGTTTATGCTAGGCAACCGAGTATACGTATTTTGTGATATTTTCAAAAAGCCATCTAGCGGTGGAGTATAAAATTATAACTTTTGAAAGTTAAATCGTATTTTCCGGCCTGGGAAAATGTTTTCCACGTCTGCAGGGTTTGTAACCAGGATAAGCGAATGTTTCCTATGAATTTTCCGTACGCAATGTGACTGGAATTGAGATTATGCGCGTTTCGCGCGGCCTTGAACGCGGTCGCGGCGCCTGTATTCCCCCTCGGCCACCACGCCGACGATCTTGTCCTTCCTGTCGTGCACGTTGCCGACGCCTGATGCCCGCAGGCCCATACACATTGCCGGTGCCACAGTGCCAGCGATTATGCCGACCGAGCCGCGCGCTCCCCACGGTCCTCCTCCACGTCTCACCAAATCGACGAAACGTGTCCGAAAAGACTGAAAACCCGATATTTTCCGCGCGCTGTGTTCATAATTTTTAAACTATTTCCTAAGTTATCGAACCGCAACGGTTTTAACCTTCGTTTGGGCGCGAAACGATTACTGTGCACCGCGTAGTGTGGTAGAGTAATTAACTGCATAATTGTGTTCCGATATTCGGTGGGAATGAGCACGTTTCTAGGCAAGTTGTTCGCACAGGCACAGTGTCAAGAGGTGGGTAAGTCACCAAAGGATATTATCATACAAGAATTTATCATTATCAGTAATAATTAGAAATCATTCGAAATAATTATTTAAATTGTTTAGTTTTGAGTGTTTGGCGAGCGTAGAAAATGTTTAGGTATCGCGAAAAATGATCGATAACGCGTTATTTATAACAAGTTGGGGGTGGCGGCGATGCAACACGAACACGACCTACGATTACCGGTCGCGCTCTACCTGTTTGAAGCTAATAAACAATTAATCGCTTTAATAATCCAGTAAATGAGCATTATTCACGCATTATTCACACATAAAACTTTATTTTTTCTATTTTTTAAAGAAGCGGGCGAAAAATGATTATGTGTAGCACTTATTTTGATAATATTTTGATAATGTGTTTTTCTTAACCCGCGCACTGCCCTCTCGATATGAAGTTTGCGTGAAAATATTCCACGCTGTTTATCGGCGTTGATTACGCGCTTGCTACTCACTCGTAACGCATGAGATATTACAACATTAATTGCGTTTGCGTGAACTATATTAATCGTTGAGAGTTTGGAGATGCGATACTAGAGGAAATATGTTTGTTGTGTTATCTCTGGAGAGAATCTGTGCGTGTCGCACCGCGTGTCAGCAGTGTGTCAACCGCGTAGTGATAAACTTTCGAGATAAGCCGCGTCTCTATGTTGACGAAAACAAAACGACAAATATAACGTAAGCGCTACTTGTCTTGCGTCACGATAATAATTACTTCGATTTATCGATTAAGTAACTTAAGTAAGTTAATTGTCGTCATCGTATTTTGCAATTAGAAACAATATACAGTGGATATTTGTTTTAATTTTACTTGAAATTTAAGAAATTTAATTTTGGTGTTTAAATTAAGTTGAAATATGAAAACGCAATGAAAAGATAAGAGAAATGTAACTTAAAAAATTTACATTGTCCGTCCTATGTTCGGTGTGTATACCACAAGTCCCACATTGGACTACAATGGATAAAAGTAAAAAATTGCATTTTATGCGTGAAACAGTCAATAAAATTGTCTATAAACCACCGGTGCACTTTTAATAACGATAAAATTGTTTACCAATAATATTTCAACTTATTTTCAGCTATTTTAATAATAATTTGATGAAATTTTACGTATTTCTTCTAAAATTACGAAAAAAAAACTATTTTTCTGTAATTTTCCCGTTTTTTTCTTTGTTTTTCTTTAATTTAATACCCAACATGATAATAATAAATAAAATATTCAATTATTATCTATTAATTCACTACCTCAATATCATTTTTATATGATTTATGTATTGTTTCATATCTATTTTCATCGACTAGGCGAAAACACTGTAAATGTCAAACATTTACTAATCGAATTCAGTGATACGGTGATAGTCTGTGCTAGTCACTCGGAAACCTCGTGGAAAACGCCGCCGTGAAATGCGAGAACTTGTTTGCACTAAGCTACTACACAAGTTACACAAGTTATCATATAATAAGAAATGTCGCATTGTTTTATATCGCGCAAAACGCACTCAAATGAAATCGAAAATGTAATGATGACAATACTGACTCACCTAAAACACCGCCTACAGGTATTCGCGTTCCGCGTTCTCCTTGAGGCTGATGGCATGATGACATTAACCTTGGTCGTAGTATTTACTGTTGATGATTAATTACACTGAAAATATAATAAAAGAAATTGTTAGTTTATGAAACATTAGAAAAAATTATTTTGTATGATAATTTTTATCGTTTTTGCATTTTTGAAGTGCATTTCAGTTGATTAATCAACATTTACACGATATTATCTAATCAGATATCGGTTTCATCAAGTAGTAATAATCTAATTAATCTCATGAGTGATAAAACCGGTTTTGGGTGCTTAATTATTTTTACACTGATTTTTACGATAAAAAAATCATAAAATAATTTATTTTCATTGTTTTTTTTTAAGTTTTAAAATAGAGAACTGGTTATTCGTGTCGTGTTTATTTGGTTGCCTATGTTAAAACTTAGTTCTGAATGAAAATAAAAACGAAACAAATGATGCCTAATAAAATCACCGAGATTGAATGATTCCATCACGTTTTATGAGCGTGTAATGACACTCAACTTTGTAAAAACCATCCTGTTGTCTGCTCACATTTATTGAATACAATTACAATTAGCAATTGTATAGCAATTAATGTGTTTTCATGCTTAAAATTGAATTTTCATCATAAAAGTAATAAAAATCACAAAAAACGCACGAAAAACAAATAAATTATGTTTTCCAAATTTAATCTAAATTTAAATCGTGCATACGCATCATTAGGCTGTAAAATTGCGCGTGAATTTTGATTTACGTCAATTTACTAATTAGTTTATGCAAGTCAATTGAAAAGCTGCCAATGAAAAGCACCTGTCGATGTTTGTTTTTATATAGTTTGTAAAAAACGAAAGTTTTTCGTTAGTAAATTGTCTATTGAAATGAAAAGTTTCTGAACTTGTGAGCAGCGCGAGCGTAAACAAAACGTGATGCAACAATGTGCTTAATTTACGATGAGCACCCGACGTCATCTCCGTTGTTTGCCTGCTCTGGACCTAAATTCGGTTAAATCGAGTCAGTGTGTCAGAGTCAATGAGTGTCATCAACTCATCCTTGCTCAATTTTCATAATGGGGACTCGCAGTAACTACATAACCTAATTTTTATATTTTTTAAGGTTAAATCAACTAAAAATTTTAATAACTCAATTTTAAAAGTTCGTAAAATAATAAATTTGATATTATTTTACGCGTGCTGAGTTACTCTTTCATTTGACACCAAATTTAATAATGTTTTAGCAGAAATGTCAAAGTTATTGCCCGTATTAACTACATAACCTAATTTTTAAGGTTAAATCTACTAAAAACGTTGATAACTCAACTTCTAATAGTCGTAAATTATCAAATTTGGTATCATTTTACGCGCAATGATTTCCTCTTTCATTTAACACCAAACTTTTTAATTTTAAACAAAAACTATGAAAGTTATCGGGATTTTAATAAAATTTCCTATGACTTTTTCGTCGCAAACTATAACTTCCACGCGCATTTCTCACTAATCTGCGCTCCTAAACTTTTACTACGATCTGCCATACGATACTTAACTTTAAACACTTTTGATTGCCAGAGTGCTGCACGCCGCCAGGCCGCTCTAGCCACGTGAAGCGCATAACGCACCACATCGAAAAACATTGAATGTAATTTTAGTACGTACAATATTTTACAATGCCAGTGCGAGACGCGCACGCCAAACTCGCAACGTCGCTCGCGCAGTTTTCCGCGCTTTCCTCGTGCGAATGGTACGCGACGCGCCAACTTTTCCGAATAAAACAAATAAAACAAAAATATTCCAAGATTCAAGACGCTTGAATATAAAATAGAATGTCTAGCGATGTTAGAAATCAAGAACCCGACGAGGTTATTACACTACATTTAATTTAAACCTTTAAAAATTAAAATTTTTGTTTCTAATATTTAATTTTTAGGGAGGTGGTTATTTAAAACGAGCCAACCCCGACCAGTTGCACGCGATCTTCAACAAGTACGCGTCGATCGAGCAGAATGGCGAGCGGTTCATGAACGCGGATGATTTCGTCCGCCGATATTTGAAGCTGTTTGAAGGCGACAACGTCAACAAGGACTCGGTGCGTCTGCTCGCCGGCATCGTCGACACCAACAAGGATAACTTAATCAGCTATGCGGAGTTTCAAGCCTTCGAGGGGCTGCTTTGCTTCCCGGACGCGCTCTACAAGACTGCTTTCCAGCTCTTTGATACCAACGGCAATGGCGTCGTTAGTTTTTGTAAGTTTCAACCTTGAATATGCATTTTTAAATGCATAAAAATGCAGTTTATGATGAGACAATAAAATTATTATTGTTTTTCGAGCGTGCAACTAATGTTAATCGATATTTTCCAGCTGAATTCGTGGAAGTTATGCGTAAGACTGTCCTGCATGAACGGATACCGTTCAATATGGAATCGCCGTTTATCCAGCTGTATTTCGGAAGGAATAAACAACGCGCGATTAGCTACTCGGAGTTCAGTCAGTTCCTGCATGATTTCCACGAGGAGTACGCGATTGAAGGCTTCCGGAAAGCGGATAAGGATGGAACTGGGTTTATATCCGAGCTGGACTTCCAGGATATTATGATCAACATCAAGAGCCACCTGCTTACCAAGCAGGTGCAGTCGCACCTCATTGAGGTACTGAGATTTTTTCCGAAACTCTCGATCTATTTCTAAAGATAGCGTTTGGTCTACGCCAAAATTGAATGCGCGTGTGTCGAACGTATTTAATCGCGCGTGGCTTATTTAATTTTTTTGTGCGCAGACGGCCAGCGGCAGTCAGACCGGACACAAAGTTAGCTTTCCCTACTTCATCGCCTTCAACTCGCTGCTGAATAATATGGAGCTGGCGAAGCGCATTTATTTGAATGTGACCAACGGCCATCGCAATCAGGAAGTGAGCAAAGAGGAGTTCATGCACTCGGCGCAGGTGATGTCGCAGATGACGCCGCTTGAAGTTGATATTTTGTTTCAACTCTGCGATGTGCTGCATCAATCTGGGTAAGAAAATGAGAAAAACTTACTTTTTTGTTGTTGGAGGTGAAGTTATCACTGAAAAAGTGAGGTTAGATTAGTTACCAAATATTAAATTCAAGAAAAACTAATTTAAAGCATGTTTTACACTCAAATTTTTATCAAACTAGTCAACTAACATGTTCATTGTAATGTTTGATAAGTTTTTATTGACTTTTCATGCTTTTTTTGTTAATAAATTATAAAATTCTTACTTGGATGTTGAAGTTGTTCTGCTCCGGCGCTGCACTACGTCATGATGCATTGTGGGTTGCCTAACGCAAGGCGCAGCACATTTTCTGAGAATTGTACAAGTAATTTAATAAAAATTAATTTTCAGGAGGATCGTCTACAATGATCTCAGCGCGATTGCCCCCGAGCAGTATTTCAAGCAGATTACTAATAGATTGGCTGAAATTCATGCTGTTTCGGTGAGTACACAAAAAAACTAGAGCAACACCACGCTAACCGGTAAAAAGTAAGGTTATTTTTTTCATGAAAATTTAATCTTAAGAAAAATGCAATGAAACGAATGATCTACGTGGAAATTTATATCACATTAGTTGCACAAGGTCCTAATCTATAAGTTCCGCTACTTTTTTGATTCAGATGCATGTTTTTTATAAGGATTTATAAAGATTTACCTGAGAGCTGATGCGGTTGTTTAACGAAGCACTTGAACTGTGACGCGCCTGTCAATGTGACGTCACAACATGGCCGGTTGTAAATTTAGGTGTATAACGGGTTGCCTAAAGTTAAAACCCCAATTAATTAAATAAATCTTAAATTAATCAATTTAAACAATGTTTTATACCTTATTCAGGGTCCTGAAGACCGTGGCGTCGTTATCCAGATGCTGGAGAGTGCCTATCGCTTTTCCCTGGGTGCTGTGGCCGGAGGTAAACACAAAAATCATCTAAACTCACCAAAAGTAATTAAAACAAATTAACTCATTAGCTGTGGGAGCAACGGCGGTTTATCCAATCGATCTGGTGAAGACACGCATGCAGAATCAACGGACAGGCTCATTTGTCGGCGAATTGATGTACAGGAACAGCGTTGATTGCTTTAAAAAAGTAATCAGACACGAGGGTGTGTTTGGCCTTTATCGCGGTTTAGTGCCGCAATTACTCGGCGTTGCACCTGAGAAAGCCATCAAACTGACAGTAAATATTATTATCTACCATTTAAAACAAGAATTACATTTGTAACTCTAATAGTTCAAAAGTTATGAGTGTTTTTGTATTATTTTCCTAGGCTAACGATTTTATCCGAGACAAATTCTATGATAAACACGGTAACATTCCAATTTACGGTGAAATCTTTGCTGGAGGTTTCGTAAGTATCAATTTAATTAACTTTCAAATCAATTTTTACCTCAAACTCATTAAAATGTCATTTTTTGACGTTTAAACTGTCAATTTATGTGTATATTATGTTGCCTATATTACCAACGTGCTTACAGGCCGGTGGCTGCCAAGTAGTCTTCACAAATCCCCTGGAAATCGTCAAAATCCGCCTCCAGGTAGCCGGTGAAATCGCAGGCGGCACAAAAGTGAGAGCATGGCCTGTAGTGAAAGAACTAGGCGTAATGGGCTTGTACAAAGGCGCGCGTGCGTGTTTAATGCGTGACATGCCCTTCAGCGCCATCTATTTCCCTATGTACGCACACACCAAAGCCGCAATGGCGGACGAAAACGGCTACAATAGCCCACTGACACTTTTACTCGCCGGTGCAGTGTCCGGTATTCCTGCAGCTTCACTAGTTACACCCGCAGACGTAATAAAAACAAGATTACAAGTCGTTGCGCGTGCTGGACAGACAACTTACACTGGTATCATGGATGCAGCGAGGAAAATCTACAAAGAGGAAGGACCACGCGCATTCTGGAAGGGAACAACTGGTAAATAGTCAATATTTAAGGTTATGTTGTAAAAATTTCAATTTTTGATGTTTTCAGCTCGAGTTTTTCGCTCATCGCCACAGTTTGGTGTCACACTCTTCACCTACGAGCTGCTACAGCGTTACCTATACATAGACTTCGGCGGAACGTAAGTGAACTGCAAATTTTTACCTGAAAAGCAAAAAAAATCAAAGCAAATCAATCTTAGTCTAAGTATAAATCTAACGAAACTTGAACATATCAATATTTATGCCTTTACAATGCAATCCGTGTTTAACAAAAAGGTATTAACCTTGTTTTTGTGTTTTATATGCAACATAACCTCAATTGATGGCTATTTGTGTGTTTTTTTTGCAGTCGCCCGACGGGTTCAGAGCTTAAAGTGATGGAGAACGATCCAAAATCACGGCATCCGGACCAAATCGGCGGCTATTCAGTCGCGCAGCCGATTTTCACCGGCATCGAGACCAAGTTCGGCCTCTGCCTACCGAAATTCAGCCGCCCTCCAACTAATTAACTCAATACTTGTACGTTTAGCGAACATTTCACCACCGGATTTCTTCATTTTCTTGCCAATTTACGAATATTATTCACAACTTGCTGCTGAGTTTTGAAGGAATATGTGATAACGCGTTTCAAATGTTTACGAATTGTTAGGAAGCGACGCCTTAAAGCCCTTTAAAACGGTTGAGAACGATTCTATTGCAGGACATAACCACAAAGTGATAATTAATTGATTAATGGTCGTAAAAATGTGAGAACACTTCCTATTTTTCTAATAATCGTCTAAAAATCGCTCTAAAATCAACCAGATTAACAAATGTCATAATGTTGTTAGTTTAACACGTGTAGAATAACGGTCTGAAACATCTATGAAAGAATTATAATGTTAACTTGTTTAGAAAATAAGAAAAACGTGATTTGTTTGTCTCAGACCGGTGTTCTACACTATTGAAGTGTTAGGTTAGAATGAAAAGACATACCAATGCAAACAACTAAAAAAACGAAATTAATTGTAAATCTAGGCAGTACTAGATGCATTTACCAAATATACTTTTAATTTTTGATGTCACTGTGTTTAATTCACTCTTAATCACTGAAAATCCACGTTTTTTAATGTTTTTCTTGCTGTTGGTTCACTCACGTCAACTGACATGTGTTATACTAATGTTGTACTTTAACGTAGGCAACCAGTAATGCACCAAATGTCAAATACTCATTCTTGGACTTTATAGTCCAAGATCGGCACTGTTCTTAATCGACACAGTTCTAATTCAGCTTGTAACATCATTATTTCACTGTGGTTGTTTTGTATTTGATTCACCATTCGAGATCTCTTTAAATTTGCTTGAATTCTGAAAGATTTTATCAAGAAATTTAATATTTAAGGTAGGCAACTATTTATACATATTACTAACCTCATATTGATAAATTTCTTTTCTTTTTCGCCTAAATTCGGATCTACTTGTAGACTTGACTCGCAAACATCGATATTTACAAGCATAATTTCCCTGTTTAATCTTTTATTCTCCGCGATTAACGCGTCAACTTTTTCCTTTAAATCATCAACTTCTCCGTGTCGTTGACATATTTGCCGATTATAACGCTCTCGTAGTAATTCTAATTCATGTTCAAACGCGACAGTTTTTTCTTGCTCACCACGAGAACGCATTTTAAGAAATTGTTGGATTTCTTTCGTTAACTTAAAGAATAAAATTCGTAATTTTTTAATATAGGCAACCAAACATGCAACTAACCTTAATGGATCCTATATCAACTAATTCGTGTTCAAGATCAGCTATTTCCATCTTTTTCTTCTTGTGTTGCCACTCTTTAATCATAATCTCCTTACGAAATTGTAAAGCATTCCGCATTGCTTTGACTTTTTTATAACCTGTCTCCCTAATAATGGCGTTGATGTCCTCTACGACTTTACGATTAACCAAAATGGCGTCTTCAAAATCAGAAAGACTTCCTTGACGAGGTAATTCCACATAGGCTTGCTTCATTACAAGTTGCAGCTCCATATTTAACAGATTTTGAACTTTTTCATGGCGGACATCTTCTAACCTCAAAAGAAACTGTGTCCCACGCTCTTTGTACCTTGAATGGTGCAAATGGAACATTTGTAGTGTTGCTTCAGCTTCAGCTATCTCCATTTGACATGCCCTAACCTATAAATACACAAAAATATCATTTTTATTGTGGTTTTACATAAAAAACCAAACATAACCTTCAATTCACTCTCAATCTTTAATCTTCTGATCCTAACCAAGTTATGGAACAACGCTTGATCTATTATGTTGGGAATTCCGACATATTTATCCATTAATTCAAGATTTTTAATGAATTCCAATGATTCATCAAATAATAACATCGGATCACAATTAGTGGCGATTACTTTTGCGATTTCCTGCAGACTACACGCGGAAGTAATCAGTTTAAAGTTCAATCGTGGACGTTTTCTTAAAAAAAATCAAAATTAACCTCAAATAACCTCAAATAACCTAAAATGTCATAAAATGACAGTTTACTTATAAAGCTTAGTTAACACTTCAAACTGCGCTGGAGAATAATCCTGAAATTCTCTTTTGAATGATTTCTCAACAATTCTCTCCTTTAACAAGAGTGTTTCAAGCGTTATCTTCATATCAGTATCATAAGAATTCAAACTACTGATTAACTGCGCCATCTCATCAGTCTTCTTCTCATTTTTGACAATTTCTAACCTAAAAATAAAATTTTTAAATTTTTTCACTTAAAATTAATATAAATACATACTCAGCTTTATTCTCAGCTTCATTCGTGGCTTGCCTCTTCAATCCTTTAACTCTCAATCGATGCATGCGTAATAATTCATTAGTCAACGCTGAATCAATTTGTATTTTCTTCACGAGTAAATCTTTCAACCTCTCATTGAAGCGTTTGACACCCTCGCGTAACTGGTTGCCTACCTTGGCATACTCCGCGATCATAATAGTCTTATACCGTTTCCTTTCACTCGCCATGAAGGCAACTTGCTCCTCATATTCTCTAATCTGCTTCAAATCTTCTTCATTATAATTCTCAGGACGTTTCTCTAACAAACACTTAGGTTTTGGTATTTCTCTGCGTAATTCATCCTCCCAACGGACTTCCAACACTCCATTCATCATTTTCATCAACGCACGTTCTTTGAAATCATCAGCGAGTAGCAATAATCGAATGCGTTCCTCATCCGCAGCTTTGGAGTCAAGGAAAGCCTGCTCGCTAGGCGAGATGTAAGGAAGGATGCCTACCTCGGAATTCTCAACTTTTGTGATTAACTCAGGTTGTTCATCCTGCCTCCAAACAGGATCTCTTGGGTTGATATCGCATTGATCTATGGAGAAATAGTTCATTTCAGCGATTATGTAACGCAGACGGGCGTTACGCTCGATGATATTGCCCATTTCCTTGACTTTTTGTTGCACACACAATTCGAATTCTTTATTGAAGTAATTCCGGAGTTGTTGTTGTTGATCCTGTGAAATATCCCTATTAATATTATAAATGCGTAAGTCCCGATGTTTGTTACACTTTCACGCAAAAACTACTTAACAGATCATCATGACAATTTGTACACATATTCTTAGTGGTCCTCGAAAGGTTATAGGCTACTTTTTATTTAATAAAAAAAAATATTTTTTAAATAAAATAAAGAAATTGTTTAGCCAATAATACCTCTGCATCTGGCTATTTGACTACTTTAACGCCATCTAGCATTCCAGCAATGAAGCTCAAACCTAAGTACTATAGTACCATCACACTGTATTATCACACTGTATTACCGACAGCTACGTCAACATCAAATCCAATTGACTACACTATGGAGACTGTACACTATACTTCCATAGACTATACTTTCAGCCATTTTAAACTTCCCGCCATTCTACTTCATTGTTACTTCTTCTGTGACTACAGACGCGTACGGAAGCAACTTCATTATTTTAGATATTCGCGAGCGAAGCCAAGGGTTAAAGCTACTAATATTATATAAATGCGAAAGTCCCGATGTTTGTTACACTTTCACGCAAAAACTACTTAACCGATCATCATGAAAATTTGTACACATATTCTTAGTGGTCCCCGAATGGTTATAGGCTACTTTTTATTGAATAAAAAAAATTATTTTTTAAATAAAATAAAGAAATTGTTTAGCCAATAATACCTCTGCATCTGGCTATTTGACTACTTTAATATTTTATGTTTTTATGGGGTTTTACATACCATAGAAACAGTATAACTCCATTCTTGTTGTAAAAACGTCTGAACTTCCGCTTGCTCATATTGCGCACCAACTAACTTCATATAAAGAGGTACAGATGATCCATAAAATGCTACGTATGTTTCATACTCGTTTTCTTGATCTTCTGCATTACTTACGGATTCATCTTCGTCTAAATCTACATTTATGGCTGTTATATCTTCACGGAGAGTTGGAAATGCATTTGGTAAGGATTCCTTTTGTCTAAAAACACATTTAACCTCAATTAACTACTACTAACCTCATTTAACCTCAAAATTATACAAATTATAACCTTAAAAATGAACTTACTGGTCTGTTAAGTATGTCCAAGGCTTAAAACTGTCATCTTTTGCGCATATTGTTTCAATTTCGCGATATCCCTGTATCCTTTCAAGTTTTTCTGCTTCGTCCATGTCAGGTGGCAGCACTGCATAGCTCTGCACGTCAAAGTTACCGAAAATCGCCCAGAGATTCTTTGTGGGTTCATCAATTGGATCCCAATACTTTTTTTTGATTGCAAAACTAATCCTGTCTTGTTCCAGGATGACTTTTTCGAGGTATATTTTTAGTTTTTCACAGTTGTAGGTGGCAGCACGTGTTAAGTCTTCTTTACGTTGGAGATCTAAATTGAATTCTTGTAGTTCTAAGCGCTCGTTTTTTGGTCCTTCTAGGTTATGATTTAGGAGGATTACGGCGACTTCTTTGATTGCGTTGAAGTTTTCGATGATTTGTTTGCGTTGGTCTTTGAATTGCAAGCGTTCCTGGTCGATTTTTAGGAGGCGTTTGTAGTCTAACCAATTTACACCTTCGTAAATACCTGGGAGTTAAAAATTGAGGTTAGAATGATAAAATTTAAGGTTAGATGAATAAAAATTGAAGAAAACTCTTTTAATAAGACCTCTAGATTAAAGTTTAATTGAAGTTGTATTGAAATGTCGGTAAATTTTGTATTTATGGTTAAAATAATAAATTTTGAGGTTAAAATTACGAAATTTGAGGTTAAAAATGCAAAATTTGAGGTTAAAAATGCAAAAAACACAAAATTTAAAAGGAACAAGTTCTTACGCTTAAAACCTATTGTATTAGTCTTGAATAAAACCAAAAATTTAAAATTTGAGGTTAGAATCATGAAAGTTGAGGTTAAAACTCCAAATTTTGAGGTTAAAAATGCAAAAAAATGCTAAATTTATGAGAAACAAGTTTCTAGAATTAAAACCTATTGTATTAGTCTTGAATAAAACCATAAATTTAAAGTTTGAGGTTAAAATTACGAAATTTGAGGTTAAAACTCCAAATTTTGAGGTTAAAAATGCAAAAAATACAAAATTTAAAAAAAAACAAGTTCTTAGGATTTAAACCTATTGTATTAGTCTTGAATAAAACCATAAATTAAAAGTTTGAGGTTAGAATCATGAAATTTGAGGTTAAAACTCCAAATTTTGAAGTTAAAAATACAAAAAATGCTAAATTTATAAAAAACAAGTTTTTTGGATTAAAACCTAATGTATTAGTCTTGAACAAAACTATAAATTAAAAGTTTGAGGTTAGAATCATGAAATTTGAGGTAAAAACTCCAAAATTTGAGATTAAAACAACAAAAACACAAAAATCTCCAAAACATTACCTCTAGGATTAAATCCAATAGTATTAGTCTTAAACAAATCCATCAACTCTTCATTCTTAGCATAAAGCAACGCCTGAGTCCTACTAGATATAGCAGATCCAGGCAACTCATTACACATCAAAAGCCCATCCCTCCCAAGCGTAAATAATCGATGATTATACGGATCGTAAGCTGTGGAGATAATTCCACCATCAAACCGATGATGTGGCACAAGCACATGTTCAATTTCCCAATTTACATTCCTCAGGATAACTATACCGTCATAACCAAAGGATAACACAAAATGCGAATCAAAAACATAGTGAATATGCCTTAACATGTGATTAGAACGAAAACGGTTGATAATCCTTGCGAGTGTTTCCTAAAAACATCAAAAAATATTTAAAAACATTCAAAAATTAATTTCTAACCTTAAAAACCGCAAAAATCAACTTACACCGCGTTTAACCTCCAATTCATGCAGATTCTTATTGTCAAACGGTGACGCATAGAATACTCGATCCCTATTGGTCTGATGTCGACTGACATATAGGTTAGTATACAATTTATCACTATTTTCAAGATGATAAGTCTTCATCGTGGGTTCCTGATGTCTTATCACACAATATCTTATCAATTTATTTCCTGCTAAATATCGATCACTTGTCACAGGAATCAGAAATACTTTTAGGCAACTTCTTCCACCCACAACAATATAATCAGCTATTTGTGCATCGTGTAACACTCCAGCAAGGACTTTAAACTTTCCTCCTGGCACGCCTTCAATAACAAAAATCTCTCCTTGATCCTTACTAACAGCAGCGATGATTTTATTCTGTTCGAAATACTTAACCTCATCTATCGGGGATTTTGTAAGGTTAAATTGACACAGTGGTTGTAGAACTTTACGTATTACACCATAAAGTTTTAATACTCCAGTGGAGAATGATAGAGTGACGTATGGATAGGTGGCGTTGCATGCAAGGTGGGTTGCAGGTATGTCTAGTGTTACTGAATGTACTAATACACCTGTTGCAGTATCCCAGAGTGATAAGGTTATGTTTTTGCCGAGGGTAATGATGAGTTCATTCTGTGGTGGGATTAATTCGAAGTGTGTGATTGCTGATTCGTCGGAGCGTAAGTGTGGGTAGGTGTGGGTGTTGGCTTCGTAGAGGAGTAAATCGTCAGTTGAGGTTATGACGACAAGATGGTCGCGTTTTGGTGTGGCGTACATCTTTGTGAAGTGGGGTTGTTTTGTTGAGGACCAGTGTAATTTGTATTCTTTGTCTTTTAAGTAATGCTGGAAGAAATTTAGAGGTTTTAATATTTGTTTTTAGGGATTTAAGAATAAAAACTTGTTACTCTGAGGGTTTTGTCTGATCCTTGGACTAGTAAACCATTTTTCCACCAGCAGAATGCTGTTGAGATTGTTATCGGGCTTGGGTTGGCGGTTATTATGTTATTCATTGTGTATGTGTCAAAATCGTACTGAAAATTGAAAAAAAATGGGTTTTTTAGGTTATTTTTTGAGGTTATACACAATGTAATACTAATAGGTTTAGAATTAGGTTATGTTAGTTGTATTGAAACATGTAAAGACGTGTTTTTTGGTTATTTTTTGAGGTTAGAAGTAATTTAACACTAGTAGGTTTAGAATTAGGTTATGTTTGGTTATGTTTTACCTTAAATACGTTTCCTGTTGTATCTAGAGCGAAACAAGAGCCATCTGTGGACCACATTAGTTGATTAATCCTTAATCTTGGGTCTTCAGCGGCAAAAGTCACCATTTCTCCTTTCAGAATGCATCTTTTGCCACAACAAGCGATTTCCCACATTTTTAATTCACTTGTGTTGATTATCAGTTGTGATAAGTATATTGGTTGAGTAGAAAATCCACATCTGAAATTTTTTTCATAATTTTTTTAGGTTAAAAATGTGTTTTAGTGATTTTTTAGTTTAATACCGGTATTTCGGTATACCGGTATTTTATTAAATCTAAATATCGGTTTGTTGGTATATATATCAGAAGCAATATTCTATTGAAAAATATCAGTTTTTGAAAAAATACCGGTATACAGCCAATAATACCGGTATTTAAAGAAAAAAAAAACCGGTTAACCGGTATTAATACCGATAATTCACATTTTTTACATAAATTTTAAGCAATACTACATTTAAAATAACTGATATTTAACACAAAAAATACCGGTATATAAATTTCAATACCGGTATTACATTTCCCTACTCTTAACCTATTCCTACTTACTTTAAGTAAACATTCTTATCAAAAAACATCCCTGTAGCCGTCTCACTCATAATCTCCCCAGTCCTCCACTTCCACACAACCAAAGAACACTCCGGATACCCACTGAGCCCAAACAACAACTCACTATCCGAAAATGTCAACGCTGAGATATCAATAAAGTTGCATTTCAACCCAGGCGCGTAGATTAAGTCATTGGTGCGCACTAGAAACACTCGTGGCGATTCACGGCGTTCCGCATATGCTAATAAAGGATGCGTCTTATGTCCACCAACACAAGAAACACCATCACCCAATTGTTCATTATTTGCGTTGATTATTTGCTCGGTACGCGTGGATAAATTATGGACGAGGATTTGACAGCCATTTGTTAAGCAGATTGTGTCTCGGCCGGCGAAGGTGACATGTTGGGGCTTGGAGAATTTCACCCATCTTGAAATTTAATTGTTTAAATAATATTTTTATTTTATTTTATGAATAAATTGAATTTTTGTACTTACAGTGTTGTATAAGTTGATAAATGATGTTGGAGGATAGGTGAAACACTATAACGCTTGGTAATGTGATCCATAATTATTTAAATATTGTTTAAATAATGAAAATGTTTAAATATTTTGTGTATCTTGCTTTTAGAGAGCTATATTTGTGATTGACTTATTTGTTTGTGAGTTATTGATTAAATAAACGTGGTTTCTATGGGTTTTTGGGGGAAAATAAGAAAAAAGTTAACAGGGACGGATTTATTTTTTTAAATTTTATTTTTTTGATTGGTTTTTGTTGTAAATAATAGAAAATTTACGTAAAATTGTGAAATTCTTGAGAGAAGTGCAAAATTACTGGATTTTTTTGAGTTTTTTGATGGAAAAATTAACAGGACCGGATTAATTTTATAAAATTTATTTTTTTTGATATTTTCCTATTTATTATCTTACCAATTTTGATAATAATCAATTATTTAAGTTAATTTTTCACCCAAATACTAAAATTTTAGAAAAAAACTAAAAAATAACCAAAAATATTTAATTGTTTTGATTAAATTTAGGAATAATTAATTAATGACAATATTTGTTTATAAAATAATAAATTCTGTTTCTTTTATTATATACCTAGAGGTAACAATTAGTAAACTTAATAATTTGCCAATTATTTTTTCATTTTTTGTCCATTTTGCAAATGAACGTAATTTATTAACACTTAATTGCTTTTATATTATATTCCGCAATGAGGAACATAATCTAATCAGTTTCGTGTGCGGCTAATGTACACGTATATGTATGTACCTGATGCGCACGTTTTTGGTAGCTTAAAGAAAAGAAATGAAAAAAAAGCCAATCAGAAATTCAATTTCGGACGCATTTCGCTCGAGCCTGACCCGGTTCGGTTCGCTTTTCGGCCACGCTCCGCTCCGAATGAGAGTAATGGAGAGTTTCATTGCGGCCGTTATTATCGTTCATTAACTAGTGAAATCACACAAGTATAAGTGCAGCGGAAGAAAATTTATTCCACACCGAAATAAATTATTACAAAAAAATAATCAAAACGTAAATCAAAATTTTTTATTTAAAAAATTGTTTTTGATTTAAAACACTCTGTATAATTTATATTTACAACAATTATTCCTCGGCATAATGGAAATGAAAAAAAGAAGCATGTGTAGAGTGGAATATTGCGTTGATGCATTTGTAAAATTGATATTAAAATATTTTAAAAAGATCGGCCTCGTTACACACAGCTCGAAGGCAAAATTTAAATCGAAATTACCTCCAAAAAGAGTTGCGATGGTTAATAATAACAAAATCATAATATAAGTTGAAAAAAAGTCGATTAAAGTATAATACATTTTTTGACGCGCATGCGTAGTAGAGATTAAAAAACTTAAATAGCGTATATCTCTGCTATTAATTAAGATATTTTAAAAATTCTTTCATATTTACACTCAGAAAAATATTTTCCAGATCTGTATTTATTGATATTAGGCTTTCGAATAAAAAAATGTGATTGTTATTAATAATAAAATAAATAAAATAAATTTAAAAAAATTATTAGAATGTAATTCATATATTTTCATAAAAATTAATGTCTAATATTAAATAATTTATGTTTCTAGAAAAGAAATCTGATATTATAATAATAATATCTATAACAATGAGGATACAATAACGATAATTCTATTGTTGTATTTCATACACAGGTACAGCCACATTAAAAACCGAATATTAATGTTGAAGTTGAAGCAACTCGTGGTTTTGTGTTTTATTATTCCGGGTTTCCTTTCTTTTTCTTCTTCTTCTTCTTTCATTTTACTTTTTCTACATTTTTATTGTTTTGTTCCGCAGTTCCGCTTCCTGTACAACTCCTATGGATGTACTAGTGTGGGACGTGTTGCCTAAGTCACTTAGTCCGGCGCGTCACGATCCGCAACTTATTTTACACCAACACGAGTTATTACTTTGCAGAACAATCGAAACAATCGAAGAATTGTTACTGCATGGCTTTGTTTCTTGTTGGAGTTTAATGTTTAATGTTGGGTGCTTGGGTTTTACGTAATAATAATATAAATATAAATAAAAATATAAAAATTTGGAATGTAGAAGAAATATTTTAACTTTTTTTAGGTTTTTTAAGTTTTATGCAGTAATAAAATGTTTTATGTAAAATATTAAATTGTTATTAAAAACTATATTAAATTATCTATTAAATGAGCTATTAGTTAATAATTTCTGATGATTCTAACCTGAGTTATACGTCTTTAAAATTAGGCAACACAAAAAACACTTTCACACATTCATTTTTTTTAGGTTTTTTAAGTTTTATGCAGTAATAAACTTTTTTATGTAAAATATTAAATTGTTATTATAATCTGTATTAAATTCTCTTTCAAATGAGTTATTAGTTAATAATTTCTGATGATTCTAACCTAAGTTATACGACTTTAAAGATAGGCCACACAAATACAATTTCACACATTCATTTTTTTAGGTTTTATAAAGTTTTATGCAGTAATAAACTTTTTTATGTTAAATATTAAATTGTTATTAAAATCTACATTAAATTATCTATTAAATGAGCTATTAATTAATAATTTCTGATAATTCTAACCTAAGTTATACATCTTTAAAGTTAGGCAACACAAAAAACACTTTCACACATTCATATTTTATTTATACTTAATTTATACTTAATGTATGCTACACACATTACATTTTATTATATTTTATGTTATTTTGACAGTTGTGCTTCCAGCGCCCTCACACGTTGATTCAACACATTACCATTTCAATATTTTTACATTTAACATTTTATCTCGAGCAAAATTCCAGATTTTCTTCCATTTCTCGTGTTTCTTGCTCTTGTGATCTTGTCTTCGGCCAGTTTCAATGCGGTTTGTTCCTGGGCAGTGGCCGATGTCGCAAGCAATATCAATAAATCTTGTCGGCGAAAACAAAATGGCGGCCGTAGCAGCCACACATCGCATTCATACGCAAACAAAGACCGTACGCAATAAAAGAAGAACGATTGCAATTACTTATCATAATCTAACGATCGCCGCTGGAATTTATAAATAAAATATACAGAGTGTTACAAAAATTCATACAAAAAACAAAAATTAACATTTTTATTGATGAATACGACAATAAATCAAAATAACAGGGACGTACTTATTTTCTAAAATTTAATTTATTTTTATTTTTTGGATTTGTTTTTATTGTAAATAATAGAAAACTTTCATAAAATTGCAATATTCTTCAAAAAAATTTTTTTATACACAAATTAACAGGACCGGATTAATTTTATAAAATTTTATTACTTTTTTTTTAAATTAATTTAATTACTTATCATAATCTAACAATCGCCGCTGGAATTTATAAATAAAATATAAAGAGTGTTACAAAGTGTCCCATAAAAAAACTAAAATTAACCTTTTTAATGTTTAATACGTCTATAAATCAAAATAAATAAAGTTGTACTTCTTTTTTGACTTAAACACGCCTTACCTTTAGGCAAATCAAAGAAAAAGTTATTTTAAACAATAAATAATAACAATTCTACTTTTTCAATTGAAAACAATTGAATTATAGTGATCTAAAATAGAGAGTAAAATGCCGAAAATGTAAAAGGAAACAAAAAATTTGGATCATTTTCAAGTAATGTTGTGGCGACCCGACGCCAGATACACATTCATTAGACGAGTTAAAAATACGCGTCGCGAAAGTGACCGAATCGGAAAACTCGTGTGTGTATTTATAACGCATTCATGTGTGCACTAAATTTCAACAGAATCAGTCTGCTGGTTTTCGTCGCGTCAGTTTTCACCTAAAAATTCGGAGAAAAATAGAAAATAAACACAAATGAAACGCAAAAAATGTGAAAAAATTGTGGAAAATTAGTTAAAATGTGGTAATTGATAATATCAAGTGATTAGTATTATAAAATAATAATTTTTTTAGTGAATTTTTAACTTTTTGGTGAAAATTTTGTGAAATTTTGGGTAAAAATTGTGATTTTTTGAGATTTTTTTGGAAAAAATGGAAAAATTTCAAGTAATTTTTGCAATATTTTTGTTTATAACTTATACATCATCGGATTATATCAATGTTGGTAAGTTACAATAAAATTTCCAACTTATTTCAATAAATTATTACTTTTTCTGCATTTTTTATGCAAAAATTTCAATTTTGTTGCGTTTTTTATGTTTTTTAGGCGGAATTTTTGACAGCGACGATGAAAACAAAGAAATCGCCTTCGGAGTAACAATAAACGAAATAAACAAAGAAAAAATGCTTCAACACTACAAATTAATCCCGGTTCGTGACCACATCGAACCTGAAAACCCCCTGGAAGCAGCCCTAACCGCCTGTAAACTGCTAAACAATGGCGTCGTTGGTATCTTTGGTCCTGTCTCCGAAGACAACTCCCAAGGAGTACAATCAGTCTGCGACACCAAAGAAGTACCACACATAGAAACCCGCTTCAACGCTAATCAACAACGTGAATCCTGTTTAATCAATCTCTATCCATATCCTGGAAGTTTAGCAAAAGTATTCGTTGATTTAGTCAAAGCATACGAATGGAAAAGCTTCACAGTTTTATATGAAAACTCAGATGGTTTAGCAAGAGTTTCCGAACTTCTTAAAATGTATGATCATCATGGGTATACCGTGATGGTGAGACAACTTGACAAACACATGACTGGGAATTATAGGTATTTTTGACGCGCATGCGCAGTAAACCCCATAAAACGAAAACCTCAAATAACTCGCTTGTTTATTAAGATAAATAAAAATTTCTTTCATATTTATACTCACAATTAAATATTCCAGGCCCGTACTTAAAGATGTCTGGCGTTCGGGTGAAACTCACTTTGTCCTGGATTGCACCATTGAACACCTGGAAGAGATTCTAAAACAAGCGCAACAAGTGGGATTAATGACAAACATACATAACTACATCATCACTAACCTAGACATGCAAACAATCGAATTGAATCCTTATCAGTATTCAGAGACGAATATCACCGGCGTACGTATGGTGGATCCTGATGAGAATTACGTCATTGAATTAGCAGGATTATTGGAACGTGATCGTGCTCAAGAGGGTAAAACACGTGAAGAGAGTGAATACATAGCCGCGTGGAAATTAAAAGTTGAAACTGCGTTGATGGTTGATGCTGTGACACTTTTTGCGTCTGCGTTGAGTGAATTAGAAATGGCGAAACAATTTAATATACGTCCACTATATTGTAACACCACTGATAACTGGGAGCATGGGTATAGTGTTATAAACTTCATGAAAACTGTGAGTAAATTTTTGACGCGCATGCGCAGTAGACTCTTCAAAACTTTAAAACGATATATCTCGAGTGTTTATAAAGATATTTTAAAAATTCTTTTTTTGTTGAACTTGTAGACAGCTACTAAAGGTTTAACAGGTCCTATAAAGTTTGACAATCAAGGATTTCGATCTGATTTTAATCTGGATATTATTGAGTTATCAGAAGGTGGTATTATTAAAGTAGGTAATTGGAACGCGAGTGAAGGATTGAATATCTCACGGATTTATCCTCCTGCTCCACCTACAAATGAGTTAAGTCTACAAAATAAGACTTTTACGGTTATTACGGCTCTGGTAAGTCAAAAATTGAAATTTTTTTCTATAAAGTGAATTTTTTAATATTTTTTTTAACAAGACTGATCCATATGGAATGTTAAAAGAGTCCCAGTCAAGTCTTTTTGGTAATGATAGATTTGAAGGCTTTGGAATTGACTTAATTCATGAATTATCCTTGATGGAAGGATTTAATTACACTTTTACGATTCGTGAGGATAAAGCAAACGGTGCTAAAGATGAAGTCACAGGAAAATGGTCCGGGATGATTGGTGATTTGATGGAACATGTAATATGACTTAAGTCAACTTTTTAGTTAACTTGACTTAACTTAAGTCAACTTAATTTTTCTTTGTTTAATTTTTTTGTAGAGAGCTGACTTAGCTATTACTGATTTTACTATTACTGCTGAACGTGAGGATGCTGTTGACTTTACGTCGCCATTTATGAATTTAGGTAAGTAATGTGACTTAAGTCATAAGTTAAGTTGACTTAAATATAAAATTAATGTTTTTTTACAGGAATTAGTATTTTGTTCAAGAAACCAAAGAAAGCTCCTCCTAATTTCTTCTCTTTTGCTGAACCCTTTGCCTTGGAGGTGTGGTTATGGTTGGGCGGGGCTTATTTCGTTGTTTCTATAGCGTTGTTTATTATGGGCAGGCTTTGTGCTTCGGAATGGCAAAATCCTTATCCATGTATAGAAGAACCGGAGTTTCTGATTAATCAATTCAGTTTGAGGAATTCTTTTTGGTTTACCATTGGTAGTCTTATGCAGCAAGGTACAGAAATTGCTCCTATGTAAGTATTTTTCAAAAAAATCAAAAATTTTGAAAAAATTTAAAAATTTTGAAAAAAATTTAAAAATTTTGAAAAAAATTTAAAAAAATTTGAAAAAAATTATTTCCAGAGCTGTATCAACACGTATGGTAGCCGGAATGTGGTGGTTCTTCACTCTTATCATGGTATCCTCCTACACAGCCAACTTGGCTGCCTTTTTGACAACTGAAAACCCTGATAGTTTATTTACAAATGTTCATGAATTAGTCACGAGAGCAGAAAAAGTTGGGATTAAATACGGCGCAAAGAAAAACGGAGCTACAGCTAATTTCTTCAGAGTAGGTTATGTTTCTTAAGCTCCGCCCCTTTAATACTCACTTGGGCGGAGCTTAAATTAAATTTTTATTAATTTTTTCCACAAATTTTCAAAATTTTAAGGATTCAGCCTTAGAAGACTATCAAGCAATCTACCAATACATGAAAAAATACGAAGACGACGTAATGGCGGCGCAAAACTCTGATGGCGTCGTCAGGGCGGAATCAGAAGACGAACACTACGCCTTTTTCATGGAATCCACGTCAATTGAATATGAAACACAACGTCATTGCTCCCTGACACAAGTAGGCGGATTATTAGATGAAAAAGGTTATGGTATAGCCATGAGAAAAGGTAAAGAGGGCGTGGTTAATTTTTTCTAGAGGCGTGGTTTAATTTTTATGTATTTTAAGATTCAATTTATCGAAATATTTTGAGTACAGCCGTATTAAAACTCCAAGAAACCGGACGCATAGCCGAATTAAAAAGAAAGTGGTGGGAGGAGCGTAGGGGAGGTGGGCAGTGTCCTGTAAGTAAAACCACGCCTTCTTAAACATTAAAAATAAATTTTTAACTAATTTTTGTTAATTTTAAGGCTGAAACAGAGTCGCAGGAAGCTAAACCCCTGAATTTGAAAAACGTGGGCGGAGTCTTCTGGGTGACAGTGGGCGGTACGGTCCTGGCGTGTTTCATGGTGTTCATTGAGATGCTGCTGCATGTTATGAAGGAGTCTATCAAGCATGACGCGACGTTTTGGGAGGAGTTCATTGAGGAGCTCAAGTTTTATATTAAGTTCAAGGGCAATGTCAAACCCGTGAGGATGAAAGAGTCGAAAACGCCGGAGCAGAGTCACAAGTCCGAGGAGAATTTGAATTTGGGTGCGTCGACGCATACGTTGGAGTTGGGGTCTGCGCAGCATAGGAAGTCAGAGTCGGAGCAGTTGAATTCTATTGGGAAGTCAAAATCAAAAAGTTAAAAATTTGATGAAAAAATAAGAATAAATAGTATTATGTATTTATGTATTTATTATTTTTGTAGTTTTAGTGTTGAATAGTTAATAAAATGAAGGGTGTTGTAGTAAAATGTGTTTTTGTGGTTTTAAGCTCCGCCCACTGGGCACGCCTATTCTGTAGGGGCGTGGTTTCTGATGGGGAGGAGCATAAATTGTGTTTTTTGTTGTTTTTAGTGATTTTTGTGATAAAACATTGATAAAAATTATAATTTATTGTTAAATATGGTTTTTTACATGTAAAAACAAAGAATTAAGACGTCAAATGTCAAAAATGTCAAAAATGTCAAAAAAATATTTAAAAAAATTACTAGATATTTAAGTATTTAATCTTTTTGTAGTTTTATTGTTGATTAGTCAATAAAAAAGTACTAATATTACAATAAAATTAATTTTTATGACTTTAAGCTCCACCCACAAGCCACGCCTACTTTCCCCGGGCGTGGCATTCCTCTGGGCGGAGCACAAATCACTTTATTTGTTGTTTTTACTAATTTAAGCAATAAAACCTCACTAAAAACAAGAATTCATTGCAAATTACGTGTTTTTACGTGAATGTTTGACGTACAAATGTGTTTTAATGGTTTTTAATGCCTTGAATGGCGCGGCAGATGAAAAGATTGGTCGCTGCGCGCCTGCATCGCTCGAAAGAAACGAAATCTAGGCCATCGGCACGTTTCCCATCGCTCTCGGTACCTACACCTGAAGATGTATGCCTGAAGACTATCTATATCGGCTAAGTCATGCGACCGCTCGAGGATTACACACACTTACACACACATACACATTAATATAAACAATTTAATCTCAGTCTCAGTCTTCTTCTTCTTTGGTGTATGCATTGAGTATTCTATGGATATATTTCCATTTCCATTTCGTTTTCATCTCGGCTCTTGATCTTCCAATCTGCGAGACAATGTTATAATGACTTAAGTCAAGGAAATACGATTGCATCGTGGCTTAAGTGCTTTAAATGCTGGAAATGTTTATTTATGGCAACAAAAATGGGAAAATAGGAAGAATCGTAAGTAATTATGTAATTATGTTGGTAATTTTATGAAAATTTTATGGATTTGTGTTTGGGAGCTCCGCCTATTGAGAGAAAGGCGTGGTTTTAAAATGGGCGGAGCAAAAATCCCAATTTTTTTACTTTTTAGTGTTTTTTGTTGAAAAATTAAACAAATATAAAAGTTAAATTACAGAAAAAGGAGGAAGGATATGTTTGTAAGCTCCACCCATCATGCTAGGGGCGTGGTTTTCAAGTGGGCGGAGCTTAAATCACAATTTTTTTTTATTTTCTAGTGTTTTTGTTGATAATTAGCACAAAAAATAAGAAATTAAAAGCACAGTAGCAGGAGGAGATGTTTATTGAGTCTGCCTACCAAGTAAAAGGCGTGGTTCATAAGTGGGCGGAGCTTAAATCACAAATATGTGATTTTTATTGTTTTCTATTGACAAATAAAAAAAAATAAGAAAGTGAAACCACTTTATTTGCTTTCTTAATTCCTTTGATACTGATTCATGCTAAATTTGTTATTGTTGCTAATTGGATAACCAAATAAACCAAATGAATAATGTGTTACATCTACATCTTGACTTAACATTGAGTCATTGAGGTTTTTTTTCATGTTGAGTCACTGAATAAACCCAGAGTGAAAGTAAATTGTAATTTTGTCATCGGATTTAATAAATAAATTATTGTTTTGTTAGCTTACGAGTAAGCCTGATGACTTAAGTGACTTGACTTGGCTTAAGTCAAGTAACGTTTTAAGTTACAAAGTCAAGAACACTGAAGATTCCGAGTGACTTGGAAGTCGTGTGGTGTGGTGAAGGAGTTTGTTCACTTTCACGCGATGCACGTGTAGATTTCGTTTGTTTCGTCATCGTCATCGGCGGCCACAAATGCACGAGGTTTTAAGTTCGGATAATGCGTGTCTTTGTGTCTTTCTTTCTTTTTTTCTTAAGTCAACTTTTACCTTTATTGTGGTTTAAATTTCTTTCAACTTTGAGGAGCTATAAGTCAGAAAGTAATAAAGATAATTGGATGGTTTAAAAATAATATTAAAATATGATTTATTGTTAATAAAATTAACAAGTTTTGTAATATTGTTATAAGTGGTTTGTTTGTTATTGCAGTTTTAATATTTTTTGTTAAACTTTAAAGGATGTTAATGGTTTAAAATTTGTTTCAACTTTGAGAAGCAATAACTTAAAAAGTAATAAAGATATCGTTATGTTTTAAAAAGATTATTAAAATATGATTTATTGTAATCATATTCTATGAGTTTTGTAAATATATAAAAAGTAGTTTGTTTATTATTACAGTTTTTATATATTTTTGCATTAGTTTAGAGTAGAATAATAGTTTAAATTTTGTTTCAACTTTAAGTAGCAATAACATTTAAACTAATAAAGATAATTATATTTTGTAAAAAGATTATTAAAATATGGCTCATTGTTAACTTATTTTCTAGGTTTTGTAATAATATTACTAGAAGTTTGTTTGTTATTACAGTTTAAACATTTTTTGAATATTTTCAAAAGCATTAAAATATTTAAACTTTGAAGACTAATAACTTAAAAACTAATAATCATAACAACAATTTCTAAACATATTCCAACAATATATCTAATATATACTCTGAAATTTTTATATTTTTATTTTAATTTTTGTAGAAGTTATAAACAAATTTATTAACAATTCCATTTTTATTTCATTCCAAGTCTATAATTAGATGTGTTCCACTATAATTTAGCAACGCAAATCCGAAGAAAGTAAATGAAGGTGCGCGATTCGAAATTTCCGCACCAAATTATTATCATTAGTGTAAATAATGAGGATTATATCGACGCACGACGCGCGGCGGTTTCTTTCGCTGCGGGTCACTCTCAGGGTCGACACATTTTCAGGCGCGCGGAGATTTAATAATTTAATCGGCGCTTTAATGGTTTATTTGTAAGTTATTAGGCGCAACCTGCAATCATAGTAAGTGAGAGAATCACACACATAAAAGTAACACTTGTAAGAGATCCACGAAAGGCGTGGAGACTTTCATCTTCTTTTATTTGGTTTTTACCGTAATCGAAAGATAGAAATTTTTCAAAATGCAATATCTCGGAAGTATTAAAGTAAAAGTTATGAAAATTGGTGAGATTATAAATAATTAGTTATATTTTCATTATTTGTTTGAAAATTGTTTATTGTTTTATTTGTTTATGAGTTATTAAAGTTTAAAAATTTGTATTTTTTATTTATGATTTAAAGAAATCAGAAAATGTAAGAAAATAGTAAAATGCGTGTACCTTTTTAACTATTTAAGATACAATATTGTTATTTGGTACATTTATAAACAATTAGTTATATTTTTATTATCTGTTAAAAAATTGTTGATTGTTTTATTTGTTTAAGAATTATTGAGGTTTAAACATTGATGTCTTCAATTTCTGACGCAAAAAAATCAAACACTTGGCAAAATATTTTAAAAGCTTTATAACTTTTAAACTATTTATAATATTTTATTGTAATTTGGTAAAATCATAAACAATTAGCTATGTTTTCATTATCTGTTTAAAAATGTTAATTATCTTTACTAATTAAAAAGTTATTTAGCTTTAAATGCAGAATTTGAAAGAAAATATAATAAAAAGTGAAAATTCTAATTGTTTTTAAAAAATCTATGTTAAACTAATAAAAATCCACAAAACAATACATTGTATGATACGCCGCAATCAAAGAAACCTAAAACACGCACGTTTCTAGGCTACACCGATAGCAAAGCGAGTTGATACGTGTTATTCGTGTTTTTCGTCGGCGTTTGAGGAAAAGAAAACGAAACCGTAAACAATACGCAGTGAAATTCCGCGGATGAGTGTCATCCACTTCTTTTATTTCGGTGTTGCTTTCGACGCGAACGCAATCGATCGTTGCGCAATCGTCGCGCCTACGCGACTCACAACTTACTTACTCACAACAATAACAAACGGTAACAAGAGTGCGATTGCAACTGGAATTTCTATTGACAAAAATCACTCGGACAACGCGAGAATCACACTTTCGGCGAAGATTACGCCATGCGCACTTTCCAAACTCGTGTTAAGTGTTGAAATATTTTGTCAATGATGACAAATGATGACAAAATTCGTTGGATTGGTTTTATTTTATTGTTTTTGCGATTACACATCGAATAATTGTTGGATTGACGTAAAATTTACATCAGATGTAAATAATTAGCTATGTTTTTATATAATGTTTAGAAAATGCGTTTAACTTTGATAGTTTTTGAGTTATTTAGCTTTAAATTTGGGAGATTTTAATGCTCGAAGCATATTTTTATTTTTATGTAATAGAAAATTAAAAATGTTATAACTTTTTGGTTTTTTGAGAAAAATTTATAAAAACTTGTAGATTTATAGAGAATTAACAATATTTTAATATTATTTTTTAATAATTTATTTATAACAATTACTTCCCAAGTTATTGTGTTTTGAAGTTGAAAAATCTTTTTGAAAAACTTAAAACTTTATCTTTTGGAAATATTTTTTAAATTTGTTGTAACTTTTTAGTTTTTAATTAAATATTTATAAAATTTTGTAAATTTATAGATAATAAGTGATATTTTAATATGCCGTTTAAATAATTTATTTATACCTATCAATTTCTTAGTTATTGCCTTTTGAAGTTGAAAAGCCTAAAAATCTCAACCAGAAAACAAGTTGATTCACATTTAAATGATTTCCAAACAACTTTGAACGATATTATAGTGGTTTTCCCTCGCTTGTGGGAATTTACAATTGCGATTGAATAGTTGTTAGTTGTTGGTTTAATTGTATTCAAATGCAATCGCCTTTAACGCGTCGCATGCGCTTTTGTAACAAATTTGAGGTCATGCCGAGTGTCAAAATCGCGTTCGAATTGTTGTCTCCGCTGCGGTCGTTGGCGATTTTATTGAATCGCCGGCATTGTGACAACTCCATCGGATGAAAATGGAATTGTAGGTGAATCTGCTGCGTATGCAAACCCGGCGGCGTAACCAGAGCGCTCGCCGACAATATCGAGTAACAACAATCGCGACCGCCGCGACTGCAACAAAACAACAAAAGGGCATAACTCACTCTGCATGTGGACTACTTGTGTGGCAACAAGACAACAAGTTTCACGCCCTACATGATCACGAATGTAAACATTTTTGCTTCAATTGCACCAGAGTTACCGATTTGAAATGTCAATGATTTTAATTTTACTTTGAAGTTGAATAACTCGGAAACAAATTGGAATAATTATATTTTGTAAACGTATATTTACAATATAGCTTTAGGTACATATAGTGGCCAAATTTTGTAACAATATTTTAAATAATACAAAAGTTATCGCAATTTTAAAATAAAAAAACAAAACTATAAAAATCATGACAAAAATTAAATTTTTCCAAACTTTAAAATCAAATATCTAAAAAACTAATTATGATAGACAATTTATCTAAACAAATAATAAAAATATCTTTAATTGTTTATAACTCCAGTAAATTTCAAGTGTGTATATTAAATATTCTCCGAGATATAATAAATTAAACAATTTCCAATCGATTAAATGAATTATATTGATACATGGACGAAATTTACGGCATCAAGATGAAGATTAAGATTCGAAATTTAATGACGAACAAGAGGAAATGTCTTGTGAGTGACGTGCTGGAAGCGCGGTGCGGTTTGACGTGCAGACGAGTCATCCCGGAGTGATTAAGTAACCGCAGCGTAATGTAATATCGAAATCAATTCATCGAAATCGAAAAATCAAAATTTCTCTTTTCTCTTGCCAACAAAAGCTTAAATTTTATCTTGATTATTAAAATATACTTTTTAAAGCTATCATAAAGCTTTTAAAATATTAAAATATGTTGACAATTGTTGGAGTAAATTGAATTTGTTGCTAAAAGTAAAATTTGGTCAATGATATCAAAAATATGAAAGAAAATAGAAAAATGCTTGTAACTTTTAAACTATTTGATATATTTGATTGTAATTTGGTACATTTATAAACAATTTGTTATATTTTCATAATTGGTTTAAAAATTATTAAATCTTTTATTCGTTTATGAGTTATTGAAGCTCAAACATTGATAACTTTAATGCTTTACTCAAAAAAATCAAAAATTTGTAAAAATTATAAAAAAGTCAATAACTTTTAAAATAATTGACACATTTTATTGTTATTTGGCTTAATTATAAACAATTAACTATATTTTTATTATCAGTTAAAAAAAGTTAATTATCATTAATAATTTAAAAGTTACGATGCATTAAACTTAACATATGCTGATTGTGTTCCCCGTAAATTGAATTCGATGCTAAAAGTGAAATTGGCGCAAAGAAAACATTTCTCGAAACGCACATAAATCACCGAATAAGCAGATAGCAGATAAAAGCAGCGTTAATCGCACCTGAAGCCGTAATAAGCTTGTAAATGAGACGGGCGATCAAAGTCGGAAATCACCGAAACGCGACCTTAACACGTTCCAGCCTTATAATAAACAACCGCATTATAATTGCTAATTTTCCATTTTAAACTCCTTTCTTTCTTTCTTTCTACGGTTCTTCTGTTTGCGCTTCCGCGGCCACGCACACTGCACTAAAAGCTTTTTCTATTTTTCCGGCCGTTTGGCGCGCGCATTAAAAAATTTATGAAAATTTATACCGCAATTTATTTCACTCGATCATAATAATTATGACAGGCAACACGTTCGTTTATAATCATTTAATTACATTCATCAATTCGAAGGCGGCGGAATGTAGAAATGTAGGATTGAATAAAAGAAAAAATTTCTCTTGATTTGATTTAATTTAGTTTTGTTGAATATGGTTGGACGGCGGAATTGCATTTTCCTTTTTTGATTAATTTGTCATTGCGCCGCGCAAGAAGTTATTCTTATGCGCGTGTTCTACTTACGATTGGCCTGCGAGGCGGCAAGAAGCCAACGAGGAAGAGAAATAGAAACAAAATTGAAATTAATATCAGTCATTGTAGGGAAAAAGTTTAAATGCATTTACGGAACAAATTTGTCTATAAATCCAGCTGTAATTAAATTATTAACGTAAAATTTTCAGAATATGTTTAGAATTAAATGTGTTTTATTATGCAGTTTAAATAATTAAAATATCATGTTTATTTATTAAGTTATTGCCTATTAAAGTCAAAGATTTAAACAAAAAAAAATCTTAGTAATTGTTTTTGCAAACTTCTTATAATTAAATCATTAATAACTCAAAGAATAATTATGATAATCAAGATTTTTAAACGGATTATGAAAATATAACTAATTTTAAATATATATTATTAATTTCAATTAAATTTGTAAAGTATTTTAAGAGTTGTAGTTAATTGAATATTTTTTTTGCTAAAATTTTAATTTTTTGGGGAAATTTTTATTTTGACACTTTGAATCCTTGTAAAAAATAGACCGGTGAAGATAAATTAAATTTTTAAACAAATAATAATAATATAATTAATAATCTACCTGATTTCCAAATTTTATTAAATTATTATTAAAACTACGTCTGTTATTAACATTTTTATAAAAAATGTCTTCAAATTCAATTTTATGAGTTTTTTTTTATTAATTATAAACTTTAAACTTAAATAACTCATAAACTAATAAAGATAGCAACAATTTCTTTTCAGATTATAACAATATATCTAATTGTTAATAATAATATGCAATTGTTTATAAATTATTGTAATTTTTTCTATGAAAATTTTAAATTTTAAATAAATTTCGCATTTTTCACGCATCTTAAGCTGCTCTTTCAAATTGTAAGTAACATATTGTGTGTTTTAAGCATGACTTTACCAGAAGTGATAAGTAAAAACCCATGTACGTGTTTTCCCATTAACACACGCATTGACCTCGCGCGCGCACGCGGACGACATGCGTCTGCAACGCACGCCGCAGCCGAAGAAGTCGAGGAAACCGAAGTTGACTCGTTCGCACAGTGCGAAAAGTATTGTTCCGAAAATACCGCTAGCCGCTAGTGCGCTTCGCCAAACCGTTCGCGACCATTTCGAGCATTTCGCAACTTCTTCGGCCGCTGCGGCGGATCGTGCGCGCGCGAATGGCTCGCTGGATAAACGGAACGCATAGGAAGCGCATCGCTGCGTTAGATCACCATCGCAGGCACCACTCGTCTTGCTGTGCGGTCGTAAAAGTAATTTAATTAGCAATGCGCTGAGAAGACGTGTGTGTGCTGTTGGCAACACTCGGTGGATTTGCCAGGCAGGTTGGTTAGGTAGGTGATGCTTCACGCACCACTTGGGCGCTTGTAAATTCGATTAATTAGCGTTGTTATTATTAAGCGCCGAGGACGCGGCCGCGGCGAAAGAAGGGGCCTCATTAGAAAATTATTACGAGTGCGCCCGGCCGCGAGTTCGAGTGCCACGAGGCAATTATCCATCAGCGAATAGACACGCGAATATTTCATTCATTAACTTATCACTGGACACGATTTTGATTTCGAGCTTTGGGATCAAATTACTCGGAAACCAATTGAGATTTTTAAATCATTCAAAGATCATCTTAAACTACAACTAATAATAAACATATTTTGTTAGTTTCAATTGTTTATTATTATTCTAAATTATTTAAATGATTATTTTAAAAAAATTGCAATTTTTAGGTTTTTTTTTGTTGACTTTGAACTTTGAACTCAAATAACTCAAAAACTATAAAAGATATTTTACCAAACTAAAAAGTTTCTAAAACTATAATTTATTGTTTATATTTATTGTTAATTTCATGCCAAAATATTAACAACTAATGTTTTTTATTGAATTTTAAAATTTTTTTCATTTTTAAATTCCCTAAATTTTTCATTTAAACAAAAATTGACTAAAAATATAAAAAAATAATTATTTATTTCTGAAAATTAATTGTTTATGCTTTTGCCTTCTTTGTATAACTTTAATGACGCTGTCTTTTTCGTTGGCATCACGATGCAGTCCGCATAAATCTCGCGGAGGCGCGTCTCTGACCGAGAAGGAAGTAAAAATAAGTGTGTCACTTTTTCATCGCCGGTTGCAGATGGGGCGCATCACCTAAGGTCCGTGCCTGATCGTAAACACCTCACAAAACATGTATTTAACTACCATAACCAAATAAATTTAAAGCTAAGGCATACAATGCTGGGTGGTCCAACACAAATGAATTGCAGATTTTGGTCCATTGTAATTGCTAAAGTTTAAGAGAAAATCACTGCAAACAAAAGGAAGCTTAAAGGGAATCTTATTTTGAATATGTATTGTAAATTTCAAGTTGCTATGTTGTGTAGTTTACGAGTTATGATGAATTTAGTTATTGGTAATTAAATTTTTGAATTTGGAATGACACGCATTGAAGTCTCCAAATTTTGAAACAGGATAACGCCTGAACTAATAAGGATAAAAACATTTTCTAAACGGAATATGAAAATATATCTAATTGTTAATATACATGCCAAATTTTATTTAATTATGATTAGTATACTGGGTGTTACAAGCAATTTTATAATTTTTTGCAAACATTTTTCTTTAAATTGAAAAATCAACTTTAATTGCCAAAAAAACTTAATTAATAAAATAAAATGACACTTTTTATGATGTTAATTAATAGATAGTTTAATTATCTTTACTATATATGCTCTTTTTCTTTAAATTTCAACATTTTTCTTACCTTTTTCGGCGAATTTCTTCCAATGACGAAATTTTGAACCGTCGCATGCAATTTGTCCTCGTGCAGATTGCAGATAGTGCACTGGGGTGTCTGGGAGAGAGTGACCCACTTGTCTGCGGGCGCGAGCGCTGCGTATGTGTGCCATGCCCATGGCAGCACAGGCCATCGTCGACGCAGAAGAAGACGCCGCGGCGGGCCACCAGCCGCAGCTCGCTCTCAGTCGGTAGCCAACTCGCGAGCCGGCTTCAACGCGAAGCGCTCCCGAGGAACACACGCGTGTGACGGCAACGAAAAAAGTGAAAAGTGAAAAAAAAAATGTCAACGATGAAATTTCTCAAGTTCAAAAGTTTCATCAAGAAAATTAAATATTTCAACACAAATTATTAATTAAAAAGCAAAAAAATAAAAAATTCCGGAAATAAATTTTACGTAGATTAGTTTCACGTTGAAAAGTTTCTTGTGTGATGAAAATTCTGTGCATCGATCGCTGACAATCGAATGGAATTAATTAGCAACGCATCCGAGTGTGCCGTGCCGAAGAAGTCTTCGTCTTGGTCTTCCTTTTCGCCGGCGCGCATTCAAACGTTTAGTAATTAACGAGCGCGCGTTACTTTCAAATGGGTAAGTTTGGAGCGCTGCGAAATATGCGTCGTTAAAGCACCGCGCGGAAATTAATTGCTTTCGCAAGATGTGCAGCGAAAAACACCCGAAATGTTGCATCTACTTAAAGTCCTCATTATTCGTGAACAACAGCTAGGCAGTCAGTGAAATTCGCCACAGTTGTTAACAATTACTTTAGATTTACGTTTTCGTTGCGAAAAAGTTAATAACTTTATTAGTTCAGGTGGTATTTGCACCCAAACATGTAAAATACGTAAATTAATTTGCTAACTTTAGGTTAAAACGGTAAAATTTAAATTGTTTATATCTTTTAAGCTAATAAAGATAGGCAACTCAATTTTTTACTAATTTATTGCTAAAACTTATATTTTTATAATTTGTTTACTGATTGTTAATATCTTTATTAGTTTATTATTTATTCACTTTTAAAATTTGGTAATTTTATTGCACAAGTAATTTTTTTTAAATTTAAATTGATAATAACTTTTGAATTAATAAAGATAATTAATTCAATTTTTAGTCGTTTATTGTAAAATAACTATGTTTTTATAATCTATTTAAAAATTGTTAATATCTTTATTAATTTCTGAATTATTCACCCTTAAAGTTTGGTAATTTTAATGCACAATAAATTTTTTTCAAATTTAAATTGTTAATAACTTTTAAATTAATAAAGATAAATTATTAAATTTTTCATTAGTCTATTGTCAAATAACTATATTTTTATAATATATTTAAAAATTGTTAATATCTTTATTAATTTCGGAGTTATTCACCCTTAAAGTTTGGTGATTTTAATGCCAGATTAATTTTTTTAAATTTTTTATAATTTTTAAAATTTCTGGTAAAATTATTAAAATTAAAAGAAATTCAAATGGCCTTCAGGTACATTTTATGTTTGATTTCTTTTTTATTTGCGTTGTAGTGAGTTTATTGAATCGACAGCTCAATAAAATCGCCAATGAATTTATAGATTAATTGATTCGATTAGAAAGCGCTCGGGGTAATGAAATTTTATTGTTTTTAAAGTGTGCTTTATGAAGATCAAGGATTAAATCGCGTTCGCATTTTTATGATTTATGTGCCTATTTGGTTCGAAAGTTTTTTTTGCGTTGCTAAAAGCTTAAAACACGCATTTCCTGGTTTGTTTTCTCAAGCAACGAGAAACCACTTTCAATTTATTTGAATTTCTCCAATAAAATCTGTAATTTTTAGTGTATGGTCTTAAAAATTTGCAAAAATATTCGAAAAGAGTTGTAGAATAAATTTGTTTTTAGATTTTTATTATCGGATTGTTAATTACTGATTTATTGGCAATTAAAATTAAGGTTTTTATTTCTTAGAATTTTTTGTACATAAAAATTTTAAAAATTTGTAAAAATTATAAACAATTAAAATATTTAAACAATATTTTGAACAATGATTAACAATTAGTTATACTTTAAAATAGTTTTTGATTTGTTTATTTGCCTAAATTATTATTAGAGTTATTCACTGCTCAACTTCCAACTTTATTTTGATTTAAAATTTTTATTGTTTTTCATAAAAATCAGCCAAGATAATCGATAGGAAGTAAAAGTTTAATATTAAAACAACAAAATTAATCCTCACGATGATAAGCGTGTAATAATGCGGCGGCCGTTGATGCTTCTGTTACTGTTAAGCGTGTTAAGCATGTACAGTTTGTGTTAATTACTGAATTCGTTAATTTCACGGAATTAGCGCCGCGCGTTCAAACAAGTGTTTAATCTTAATTTGCCGTTGGTTCTTTTCTTCGTTTTCCTTCGGCGCGCGGCCGGCTGGTGGTTGCGCGGATGGCTTGTCCAACGGTATAAAGAGGTAGCAGTGAACTCGATTATTATTAGACGCAGCAGCGGCGCCGTTTGTCTGTGTGCGCGCACGCTTTTCACTTTCATAAAGCCATTTCGATTCCGCAAGAGAACCGATTTGACGTGGCGAATCCCGAAGACTACGCGATGCGTTTTTATTACGTTGTTACGTCTCTTTATGCTTTGACAAGGAAAAATAAAGTTTGGAGGTAAATTACGGCTAAACTAATGGAGGAAATTTGATCAAACAAATTTTAAAATAATTAATGGTTAATTGTTTATAACATTTGTGATTTTTATAAAAATTGGATAAGAATAGAGTGAGAAATTTGATAAAATATATCAAAAATCAATTTTTGGACAAAAAATTAATTTTTAATCAATTTTAATCACGAATTACGCAAAAACTAATTAACATATTTTAATCAAATAAAGTGTATTTTATTAAGAAATTAATTAAAAGTATGTTTCCAAAATTTCATGATAATCGGTTGATAAATAAATGAAATATTTGCAAAAATAAAACCAAAAGTTTTTTTTTTAAAGGAAAATTTAATGCAATGTAATTTAATGAAAACACGACAGAAAATGCGATTCATTGCAAATGTAAATTATTCCAAGATAAGACGCGGATGTGATTAGGATAGATGTTGATGGAGAGGATGTACCCGCCGAAGAAAACATGCGGGATGCGTGGTAAACGCTCATCGCGCAATAAAGAAGAACATCGAAAGGGAATGTTAATTGAAAATTTACAAAATTATCAATTTAAATTAAATATTGATTGATGAACAACACAACTAATTAATTAAACAATATTTCCTTCAAATAATTCAACAAATATTTAATATATAACGGAAAAATATCACCAAAATCTCCATCGATTAATTTCTAATTAAAAAAAGCAAAAAATTCTTCTTCTTTTGTTAATTAACAGTAATTAATGGCGAAATTGGCGATCAGACAAGACACATATCAACAAGATCAACAAGCCCATTAAAATCTTCAGCGTCTGGTTTATTTTTCGTATTTTTTGCGTTTGTGGTTTGTTCCTCAACTTCTTCGCCTATTGACTCTTCAGTTTTACGCCCGACACAGCTGCGAATCCGCGAACCAACCGCGTGATTGATTAATGAGCCGATTATTAACACACCGTTTTTTTCTGGCTTCTTCTGCCTGAGTCAAAGAGGTTTAAAAGGTGTTTGAAGAAAAAAGTGTTAATAAATTCGCAGTGAGCGAAAGAAAAAAACAATTAATCGGCCGCTTGATGGCGATTTAATGAACTTTGCGCACGCATATTAATCAGCTGCTAAAAACTTAATTGAATTAACATGTTTGGACTTGTAATTAAATATTTTACGCGGAGATTTATTGATTTGGTAATGGATTTATGGAGTAAGAGTTGTGAAAGTTGCTTATAACTCGGAGATTTACGGATGGAATTTGATCAAATTTCAGATTAATTATTATTAATATATTGTCTATTAAAAAATGTAATGGTTAATTAATTTTGTTAATTATTTCAAAGAGTAATTAACGTTTTTTTGTGGAAAAATTATAATTTTTTGTGTTTTTGTGTTTTAAATAGATAAAAATGATAGTTAAACATGTGATAACAACTTGGTATTTTTAGAAGTGATAACAAATGTCAATGTTAATACGTGTGTCAAATTTTATCAATTTCTGATGATTATTTTAAGAGTTATTAAAGAAAAACTATGTGGAAGCATTGAAGTCACCAGAATTTCTGAATTATTTTATATTTTATTAAAAAAATATTATTTATAACAAATATTTTTAAATAATATTTTACCACAATAAATCTAATAAACCAACAAAGGTACTTACAAAATTTCATGATGATATTTCAAAAACTCTCCGAGTTATTCACTATTAAACTTCACGTTTTGATAAAATCTGCTCTGCTGTTTGTCCGCAGCGTCTTAAAATAATTACCGCAGCCGTTTTCGTCGCAAAACCGGAAAGTACGCATAACGACGTTCATAATTCATGCGACGCAGAGTGCGTCGCAGCATCCGCATTAATTTTAATCACTCATTATGCGTGATTCTGCGCGCGCGCGTGCTTTAATTGGAAATTAAATAGTCGCACGCGCACACATCCTGCCGCAAGTGCCACCGGTAATGCCGCTGTTGCCTCTTCTTCGGCGTCTGGAAAAGCGCGGAAAAGATCAAATTACGTCTCGGCGACGTGCGCAACGATTATCGCTGCGCAGCGCGTATCTCGTCAATCATCGCCATTACGCGCGCGGCGAGCGGCCATTACGCCAGTTGTTTACCAGACTTCGTCCTCCGAGAGTGTATTATCTGCATGCGCATGCAGTAACACGCGTAAAATGGTTTCCAACACGGTGCAATCGAGTGAAACCGATGCGCGATTAGGAGGTGAACTTCTGGTGCGATTTACTGCGTTGTCCTTGGACGGAATGTCCTGAAATTTTCAACATGTATAAATAAACTAATTGTTTATCATATTGTAAAATATTATTTAGTTTAAATAATTTTATAAACAATTTTTTTGCAAAAAACTAAAAATTAACATTTTCATATCAAAATTTTTGACATTTAAATTTAAACTCAAATAACTTTTTAAATAATTAATGAATTTTTTTCAAACTTAGCACAAACTTTAACAATGTCCTTTTTAATAATTTGGTCCATTTTACTCTAGTCCTTCATATATTTTTCGTCTCTTAAATAAAAAAATCACATTTTTTGCATTTTTTGAAACTTTCTTCTATTGAATGATAAATTGCACTACATTAATATTGAAAGACGCTCATTGCGCTCAGGAAATGGCATTATTCGAAACTGTTGAATGAATCGCTGGCCCCAACATCGTGTAGGTTGACCCGCTCGCAGCGGGTGTGGCGCGCCGCGATTTGCGTATTTTCCTTCCTGAATGTTGCGCGTTAAACGTTGATTAATCGCTTAACGCATTACACACGCGTTGAAAGATCATTCACTCTCGAAGAATCTACATTTTAACTAGTGGATAATGTAATCATTTACTTTCAAACCATGAAAATGCAAAAAATAGAAGAATTTTATGTTTATTTTAAACGTTCAACTTTAAGCTTAAATATCTTATAAACAAATAAAGATATTATTACAAAATTTGGTGGAAGTAATAAATGGTTAATTGACTTTA